GATAGGAGTAACAGGTTCTAGTGTTCCACCTCACAGCAGGACAAGCACAGTTCACAGCATGTTAGATTCTGTGCAGAGTTGGAAGCTGATAGGTGTCAAACACAGAGAAAAGGTAGTTCCTGCCTTGGTTGGTTTATGTTGTATGTGTGTGTTGAAATAACTGCACTGTGCCCCACAAAGAAGTTTTGTATGTTAACTGAAAATTTTAAACAATTTATTAGGAAAGGAAAATGGACATGGACCATGGTGGGGGGGACCATGTCCCGTCTAGTTTTTCTGGCTGCTTATTCATTCCTCTAAGGATGGACCTCCAGCTTGCCTCCCACTCCCTAGTACTACGAAGGGGCACTAGGAGGTGGGGCTGCTGATACAATGAATTTTACAGAATATGAATTTCTTAAGTGTGTAGTTTAAAAAGTGAATGAAAGAACCGTGTAGTAAAAAAGAAAACAGTACAAAAGCGAAGCTGCCAAAGGAGGCTTCCAAGTACCTGTCACTCAGACTTCCCTGTGCTGTGCGCTTTACAATACACTGTCAAAGGTGATACGTTATTATTGGAACAATACTGCTAATTACAGACTTTGTTTGCATTTTACTAGCTTTTCTGCTTTTCCTCTTGGGATTCAATTCAGGGTATCAGACTACATTTAGTAGTTTAAAAAATTGGGTTTTTTTTTTGTGAGAGTTCTTTAAATATTCTCTATATAAGTCCTTTATTAGGCTTAATGCCACTGTATTATTTATTGCAGTTCTGCAAAGTATTCTGTGTCTGTAGCAGAATCATTACTCGTTTTTTTTTGTTGAATGCAAATATATGTGTGGGGAGCAACTGGGAGCAACTCGGACTAGACTAAGTTACTGGAATTAAGACTTATTCTATGCATCTGCTCTCCCACAATATGGTGCTGGGAGAGGAGAAAACAGCTTCTACGCAGCTGCCTCTTGCCAACTTGAGTGATGACCTCCAGGAGCTGATCCTGCTCCTGATTGGAGGAGAGCAGTGTACTCGGCGTGTGGGTAGCAGAGTTGGGATTGGTGGAAGAGGACTATAAAGGAGGAGAGAGACAACATGCACCAGGAACATCTATCTGAAGGAACACCTGTGCAGCCCCCGAGAGAGCCGGCCGGCGGTGTGCCGCTCCCCCGCGGAAGTGGGGAATGTGGCAGGGGGAACCGCCCTTCCACGGAGGTGGAAGGGACGGTAGCCAACCCGGGAAGAACCAGCAGCAAACCCGGGGAGGGCCGAGCAGACAAAAGAACAGCGCAGGGTCCTGTGTCGTTCCTCCACGAAGACGGGGAGCAACAATATGTATATCTGTGTGTTTATATATGTATAGAGGTTTAATTTGCATACCACTAGAAGCCTCTGTAACAATGGGGCACGTTTTAAAAATTGTTAGAAATGACATTGTTCTCAGACTCCGCCATAGCTTCTGTTGATAATATTCTTGGGAAACTTTTTCCTTGTTGTTGATTTAGTTCCTGTGTTATGTGAGTAATTTTGCTGACATACACAGGGAAGGGTCCTCACTGCAGAAATACTTGTATCTTAACAGGTATCAGTAATCACTCATGACTCCTGGGAGTCACTGTGTAAGAGAAATTGTCAGCAACTGTTTATCAAGCATCGGCTGTGCTCTCTCCCTGTCTTAGGTGTGGAACCACAACAGCCCTGGTGTGGCACATAGAGCCCATGTTGCAGTGTGCAGAGGCACAGAAACAAGAAAACGTCCATGTCTCCCACGTGGGATGTTGATAAGGGTGACAGAAAAAAATTTAGCCAAGGCCACCTTGGGAAAGCATTGCTGATGATGAAGTGATCCCTGGGGGATGCGGGGCCAGCTTTGTGGTGAACAAGAGAGAACTTCAGGCTTTCTAGATGGGATCTTGCTTCGGGGGGAATGTAGGCTTCAGGGCTGGAGCACAGTGAGTGCCATCGGGAAGGCAAAGACATCCAGGGGCTCACGGGAGGGTGGGGTGGGGGGAGGCCTGATTATGCAGGGGCTTGGGCTTTGGCCCTGAGTGTGCTGGGGACGCTGGGAGAGACTGAACTAGAGGTATAGTAGGACTCCTCCAAATGCCAGGTTGAGAGTGGGGGTAGAGGGGTGAGAATAGAACCAGGAGACCAGCCAGGGGACTAGAGCGGTCGGCCCCCTGTGGCATTCGTTGGGAGAAACAGTGACGTGTTGGATCCGTTACAGATGAGTGGATGAGATATGTTAGATTTGGGTGTGGAGAACCCAGGATGTAAGGGATGGCTTCCAGGTTTCTGGGCAGATGGGAATGAGAGGCATGCGAGGGAGGAGTCGGAAGAGCAGGCTTGGGAAGGGGAGGTGTAGTGCTGGTGGTCATCATGCGTTGTGGAAGGTGGAGTTTGGATGTGTATTCATGGTGCACAGAGCAGTTAAATACGTACTTTGGAATCCACCGGGCTAGAGATTTATGGCTGCTCTGCTTTTTAATTCACACCTACCACTTGTTAATCATGAGAAGTCTTTATCTACTTAAGCAAGGAGTGCCTAGCACAGTGATTGATGTGACAGAGGGGCTTAATGTTGAATACGTTGGACAGAATTGAAATCTAAGTCTGGGTAGTGTTTTCTATAAACACACATTTTACTCTAGTAATAGCTTCCGGTATTTGAAGTGCACATTATTTTTTGTCATGTGAACTTTAATAAAATGAAACTTTGTCAAGAAAATGTTTGGTAACCCTTCTTAAGCAGGCTTCTGGAAGTGTGTAGACATTAATACAGTGGGGCCTGCTGCTGAGCTGGGCTGTCCATCCTGCCCCCTCGCTGCCTGCTTAATTAGGGTTCTTATCCTTAATGGACATTGGTTTCTTTTTCTTTTCTTTTCTTTTCTTTTCTTTTTTTTTATTTTTTTTTGACAGGCAGAGTGGACAGTGAGAGAGAGAGACAGAGAGAAAGGTCTTCCTTTGCCGTTGGTTCACCCTCCAATGGCTGCCGAGGCCGGCGTGCTGCGGCCGGTGCACCGCGCTGATCCGATGGCAGGAGCCAGGAGCCAGGTGCTTCCCCTGGTCTCCCATGGGGTGCAGGGCCCAAGCACTTGGGCCATCCTCCACTGCACTCCCTGGCCACAGCAGAGAGCTGGCCTGGAAAAGGGGCAACCGGGACAGAATCCGGCGCCCCGACCGGGACTAGAACCCGGTGTGCCAGCGCCGCAAGGTGGAGGATTAGCCTAGTGAGCCGCGGCGCCGGCCTGACATTGGTTTCTAATGCTTAGACTGTGTAAGGGGTTAAATTTATATAGAAGGGATTTCTTATAATAAAAAAATAAGTGTTTTAGTAGTAACTGCATATTGGCTTTGTTCAGTAGCCCAGGAGTCTTCCTGACTGTATTATGTAAAGAAGGGTCCTTGATTTCGGAAGTTGACTGAATTGGTTTGAGCTGCTCTAACACAATACAGATACAAGGGAAACTTGGCTTCTCGTGGTCCTGGAGGCCACAAGTCCAGGACCGAGGTTCTGGCCAGCTGCCAGGTCACCTCCCTGCTGTGTCTCTACAGAGCCTGTTCTCTTCATGGAGGGAGAGAAGGGGGGAAGGCAGGGATTGTCAGGGCAAGTGCTCCAACAGCCTTTCCTCTCTTATGTGGATGAGTCCCACCTGTGACCTGTTCCAATCCGTTACCCCCCAAAAACTCCTATCTTCAAACTCCACCACACTGGGGGTGAGGCCTTGAACACAGGAATTTTGGGGGAATTTAATTCAACTCCTAACACCAGAGTAACATCTTTAAATGCTTGGATTATTTTGCATTTTCCTGTGTGTGTGAGAGAGAGAACAGAGAACAACCTTTTAAGATATTTACACTTGCAGTGTCAGTCGAGGAAATGAGTGGGTTTGTGAAAATAAATGCAAAAAAAGAAGCAGCAAAGATTTAAATTTGCTAGGAAGGGCATTTTGAATTTCAGAAATGCTTGCCTGGTAGAGTACTTAAAAATATGCGCAACTCATTACCCATAAGCTCAAAGACTGACTGTAATTCTTAAAAAGTTTTACTGATTGATTAGTAAATTCAGAAATTGTTCATTTTTAATTAGCATTCAGCTGATGGGCTAGCATTCTTAAATTATTTAAGTAGAGTAAATGTGCCCTCATACAGATTTAATTGTGTTATTAATTTGGTTAGCATTTTCACGGTGTAATCGACTTTAGCACAGATTGGATTACTAATTAGTATAATGTTAATGAATATGGTTCAGTTTTGCCAGATAATGTGGTTGATCTGTCAGCCACGAGCTTTCTCTAGAGAGGTATTGGGGTAAGAGAGGTCTCCATGGGGATCTCACGCTGTGTCTGCCTCACACCCTCCACATTGCTGAAAGGAATAGATGGGGTGGGTGGAGGCACGCCTGGAGACACACACACCCATGGCATGCGTGTGTATCCACAAAGCATCGAAAGCACCGGCATGGAAGGTTTTCTTTCAGAAAAAGAAAAAACCGTAGAGTTCGTTTTTTAGTTTCTCCCATGTTGTGCAGCAGGAGCTACAAATATTGATACAATGGTTTGGTTGTACCAACTTTTCCATTGCTACATTGAATACAATTTTCTCTGCGCTTTTGAAATGTAGGCAGATATGGTGGGAGGAAACAGTAATTTCCTGCCTTCGATGAAGGCCAAGGCTTGTCAAAATACTGTGTTTTTTGGGGGGAGTGGAGAGTGGTCGCTGTTTGGGTGAGTCACAGATTAGGACACAGGGGCCCACTCAGAGTGACTGGGACTTGCAGCTGATGCACACCTGGGAGGCAGCAGGCGTGGTGGGTCAGGTATACCCCATCACCCACGTGGGAGACCTGGGTTGAGTTCCCACCTCCTGGATCTGTGTCGCCACTTCTCTAGTCTTCCAGAATTCAATGCATTTGGGGAAACTAGTGGATGGAAGTCTCCCTCCCTCCCTCTCTCCCTCCCTCCCTCTCTCCCTCCCTCTCTCCCTCCCTCTCTCCCTCTCTCCCTCTCTCCCTCCCTCCCTCCCTCTCTCCCTCTCTCTCTGCCTCTCAAATAAACAACTCTACTTGAATAAATAGATTCTGCTACTCATATTACAAATGAGAGTGAAGTAGTTACCCTTGTGTTGAGTTATTTGAATATTTGGGAATTAGAAAGGTGCATATGAAGGAAAAGAACTTCCATATTGGAATTTTTTTTTTTTTTTTTTTAATTTAAAGGCAGAGTTACAGAGAGAGGAGCAGACACAGAGATAGAGATGAGGGATGAGGGGAGGGAGGGAGGCAGAGGGAGAGAGGTCTTCTGTCTGCTGTCTCACTCCTTAAATGGCTGCAATGGCCAGGGCTTGGCAGATCAAATCCAGGAGCCAGGAGCATCTTCTGGGTCTCCCACATGGGGGCAGGGGCCCAAGCACTGGGGCCATCTTCCCCTGTTTTACCAGGCCACAGCCGAGAGCTGGATCTGAAGTGGAGCAGCTGGACTGGAACTGGCGCCCATATGGGATGCCGGCACCAAAGGCCGAGGCTTAAGCTACTATGCCTCTGTGCTGCCCCGAGATTGTTTTTTCTTAGTTAAGAAGACAAGAGAATTTTGACTTTGATCGAAAGGATTAAGAATCACAGTATAGGGGCCGACACTGTGGCGTAGCGGGTAAAGCCGCCGCCTGCAGTGCCGGCATCCCATATGGGCACCAGTTTGAGTCTTGGCTGCTGCACTTCTGATCCAGCTCTCTGCTATGGCCTGGGAAAGCAGTGGAAGATGCCCAAGTCCTTGGGAACCCTGTACCCACGTGGGAGACCCAGAGGAAGCTGCTGACTCCTGGCTTCGGATCAGCGCAGCTCCAACCGATGCAGCCAGTTGAGGAGTGAACCAGCGGATGAAGCGCGTTCTCTCTCTCTCTCTGCCTTTTCTTCTCTCTCTGTGTAATTCTGACTTTCAAATAATTTTTTTTTAAAAGGATCATGGTATGATAATCTCATACCGTATCTTTGTTTGCTTACTGCACTGGAGTGTGAAACTGTTCTCTGAGACCATCTGGGGTGGAGAAGAAAAGGACAAGGGCCCCTGTTGTCCTATCTTGGAGTTAGGTCATGGGCACTGAAAGCATCCTCAGTGGGACTACCACGTGAGGGACGGATCCAGACAGCAACGCATCTAGGTAGGAAGGCAGAAGAGTTTATAAAATTCCCAGGAAACAGAGTCTCAAGCCATTTGGTGCATTTAGCTAAGTAACATTTGCAGTGAATGGGTCAGTGTACCGTAAGGCGTAACTGTAAAGTTGAAGGAGGTGCATTTTTGCTCTGTCGACTGCGTCTGCCGTGTGCTGTGCTGTGATGCCTGGTGCACTGGGAGCCGCAGATGAGTAAGGCGGAGGGCAGGGAGCTCAAAGGTCAGTGAGGGTGACCCTCAAAGGAGGATTCACAAAGCAGTGTGTTCGTGCAGCGAGGAGGCGGTCTGGAAACCGGGAAAAGAGCCGGCGCTTGCAGCCGGCAGATGAGACTAATTCTTTGTATTGAGAGGATTGCTGGCGCTGCGGTAGCCTCTGCTCTGTGTTTTGTTCAGCCCCATTTCAGCTAAATGCTGTAATATTTAGGGCATCTTATGCAGCGTCAAACACATCAAAGCATAGAGTGATGAAAGAAGGTTCTGAGGCATTTTTACTTTCCATTTGGGCATATATCCAGAATTCACAGAAAATTTAAAGTGTTTTTTCCTTAAAGGTTACTTTGGTGATTTTAAATTCTAAACAATCGTTGCAAGTATGTTAAGCTTGTTATAATGTTATATTTTTTTAAGTAAGACTTGTTAAAAGTCTTTATTTTGTCTAGAATTAGCAAGTGGACAGCGAGCAAAGCAGGCAGATTTTTTGTCAGGCATAAACAACTTTGCATCCTGTTGATCAAGTAGAAAATGCCTCAGTGAATGCCAGGGCTAAAAATACATTCCTTCAGGTTTCTGGTTTTGTCAGATGAGGGGTGGAGTCATCAAACAGGAAGCAGGAAATCCAGTAAACAGGAATTGTGTCCTGAGAGAATTCGCAGGGGACGTGGGGGCTCTCGCGCTCGGTTTCGGCTGAGTGACGTTTCAGCGCCAGCAGCACCTATCTGAGAATGCTGCATCTAATGCAGTGCCAAGTGGCGTTCTCTTTGCTGACTCCTGCCGGTGATAAATCATCTTTGTAAGGTGGCGCGTGGTGGATCGAAGATCTGCAAGTTAATTCAGTTATGTTGTCGCAGATCAGTCAATTGTGCTCATTGTGTATTTTAAAGATTTACTTATTTTTAAAGATTATTTATTTGAGAGCTTGTTTGGAGGTTCTAGCAGGGGAGCGCAGCTACTCGTATACCCTTGACCGAAGACCTGGTCCTCCTCTAGCGGGGAAGGACGTACTCTTCGACCGAGAGTGCAGCTTCGAAAGATTATTTATTTGAGCGGCAGAGTTATACTAAGAGGGAGAGGCGGGAAGAGAGATATGTTCCTTCTACTGGTTCGCTCCCCAAATGGCCAACACGGCCAGAGCTGGGCCAGTCTGAAGCCAGGAGCCTGAAGCTGCTTCTGGGTCTCCCACGTGGGTGGAGGGGCCCAAGGACACGGGCCACCTTCTGCTGCCTTTGCAGGTGCAGAAACAGGGAGCTGCATTAGACCCGGAGCAGCCGGGATTCAAATGGCACTCACGGGATGCTGGTGTCACAGGTGGTGGCTTAACCCCCTGTGCCACAGTACCAGCCCCAGACTACTTACTTGTCTTTAGCTTTAACGCTGCCAATGCTTTACACTGTAAGGAGACAGTTTTTCAGTTTAGATAGCAGTAGCTTTAGTGTAGTGTAATATGGTTAGTATAGTTTCAGTAGTAGTATAGCCAAATGTTTCTATGTTTTCCTCTATACAGGGGCACTTTGCAAGGTTAATGGGAGGGGCATGGCCCTGTGGCATAGAAGACTAACCCTCTGCCTGCAGTGCCAGCACCACATATGGCCCTGGCACCTACATTGGAGACCCAGATGAAGCTCCTGGCTTCAGCCTGGCCCAGCCCTGGCCGTCGCAGCCATTTGGGGAATGAACCAGTAGATGGAAGATCAACCTCTCTCTCTCTGCCTCCCTCCATCCCTCCTTCTCTCTGCCTTTCAAATAAATGAATCTTTAAATAAAAGATAGTGGGAGATGGAATTATGAGGTAAGCTTATTTTGGTATAAAAAATCTGCAATCCATGCATATGTGGGCTATTAACAAGTTCATGGAAATATGTATTATGCACAAACTTGGCATGGATCTTGAAATTTTTTACACCAAAATTGACTTTTTTTTCTTAAAATTGAGAGGTGGAGAGAGAGTGAGTAAGCTGTCATCCAGTGGCCCACTCCTCAAATGTCCACAAGGGCCGAGGCTGGGCCACATCTCCCATGTGGGTGACAGGGACCGAACATTTCAGCCATCCACCTGCTGCCTCTCAGGGTGTGTGTGAGCAAGAAGCTGAGGTTGGGAGCGGAGCCAGGTGCTCTGATAGGAGACACGGTTGCCTTAGCTGCTGGGGCAATTAAAAGTATCCTCCTCTATGAGGAGGTTGGGGGAATGATGAAAATCAAGGCACTGCACAGAAAGCTAACCCGAGACTTCTCTTCAAAGCAGTTGCTGTTGGAAGCTATGTATTAGCTCCTTAATATTCTTAGACTATTTTGGGGATATCTCTTTTTGTAATCGCTAAATTTTGGATTGTATGGTGACAGCTTTGAATGTTAAAAATATCCGAGGATTCAGGATGTGCTAAGTGCTGGGGAAGTAGAGAAGTGGATAACCGATGTGGAGGACTGTTCTGATGTCAGGGGAGTGGTAAATAAAGCAGATTTCCTACTTCTGCAGCGGACAAAGAAATAGCAAATGCAGTCGGGACCGCCGGCACGTTATTTAGCAGAGAGCGGCTGGAGGAAAGCACCGAATACAGGTGATACCAGTGTAAGGTCTAAGGAGAGTCTAAGAGGCCGTGACGCTAAGGCTTTGTACCTCTCATTTTTTAAAGAAATATTTTTTTTTTTTTTGACAGAGTGGACAGTGAGAGAGAGAGACAGAGAGAAAGGTCTTCCTTTGCCATTGGTTCACCCTCCAATGGCCGCCGCAGCCAGCACGCTGCGGCTCGCGCACCATGCTGATCCGAAGGCAGGAGCCAGGTGCTTCTCCTGGTCTCCCATGGGGTGCAGGGCCCAAGCACTTGGGCCATCCTCCACTGCACTCCCTGGCCACAGCAGAGAGCTGGCCTGGAAGGGGGGCAACCAGAAGAAATAATATTTTTATCAAAAAGTAAAAACCCTCTAGAACCTAATCTGAAACAACAAAAGTCAAACAAAATTTCCTTTTGTACTCCCCCATCCCAAAGCCTCTAATGTGATTTTATATTCTTGAAGAAATAATTATATAATCCCATCAGCGTATTTAGATGTCTTTTATTATCTCAAGCCAATGCAAACATTCTGTACACTAGTTCTTGCCTCTAAATATTTCAGTGGGAGGATTCAGGCAGAGGCCAGCGTGGTTCTGCCCAGCAGATGCACAGTGTCTTCCCGGGTACATGTCCTTTATCTTAGCGTCCTCTAGGGGCGGCCATCCGGGTGTGTACAGATTCCACATCCCCTTACAGGTACATAGTTCTGGGGTCCATGTTGTGGCACAGTGGGTTAAAGCCTCACTCTGCAGTGCCGGCTTCCCATGGGGCTGCCGGTTTGGTCCTGGATGCTCTACTTCCAATCCAGCTCTCAGCTGTGGCCTAGGAAAGTGGTAGAAGATGCCCAAGTTCTTGGGCTCCTGCACCCACAAGGGAGACCCAGAAGAAGCTCCTGGCTCCTGGGTTTGGATCAGCACAGCTCCGGCTGTTGCAGCCATTTGGGAAGTGAACCAGCAGATGAACTACCTCTCACTCTCTCTCTGTGTCTCTCTCTCTGTCTCTACCTCTTTCAAATAAATAAAGTAGATCTTTATAAAAAAAAAAAAAAGTAAATAGTTCTGTGTCACCACACAGCATTTCATTTCATGGAAATTGCATATTATGAAAAAACTGCATGGGTTTCAAAAATATTTGCACCACAGCAAAATTATTTTTAATTCCATTTTCCACAAACTTTTTGAAATACCCTCACGTGTGTGTTGATATGTTTGTGGATGCTTTATAAAATTGAAAAAAACAATTTTAAAATTTTGTTTGACAGAGTATGTATGCATGTGGTAGGGGTGAGAGAAAGAGAGGGAAAGAAAGAGAAAAAGATCTCTCCATTGGTTCACTCCGTAGATGTCTGTAATAGCGAAGGTTGGGCCATGCTGGAGCCAGGAGGGAATTCCGTCCAGATCTGCCACGTGGGTGGCAGGGACCCAAGTACTTGAGCCATCACCTATGTTTCCCGGGTGTGCATTAGCAGAAAGCTTTTCATGAGTAGATGTTATCAGTCAGATTCCTGGTAGTGGAATTACTGAGTCTACATGAATGTCTAGTTAACATTTGGATACATACTGCCAACTGGGTTGTTGAAAAGGATGTCCCAATTTATAGTTCCACCAACAGTGAGTTATGTTGCGTGCCGGAAAAGGCTTTTCATTGCATTTTTTAGATTTTGCCACTCTGGAGTGGCGGAAATATATATTGCACTGTTCAAATAGCATTTCTTTGATTCTGAATGACTTTGAACATATTGTCATATGTTTACTGACCATTCTGAAAGGTAGCCTCAGCCAGTTTTACGTCTGTTTTGGTTGGAGGGTCATATGTTACGTGGAGAGATAGGCTCAGCACAGAGCGGTGTTCTGAAAGCCACGCTCATGTATCTGTGAGGGAGGTGCATGTATACTGAACTGAAGACAGAATTTCACATACCTCCCCAACACATGTGGCCAAATGTGTCCGCCACATTGAGGACATCTAAGATAGGAGTAGCAGCTTCGTTCTCCCTTTATGAAACTGGACATTTAGTTTTCCTTTTCGACTTTGGAAGTAACAAGAGGTGCCCCAGTGCCCCTCAGAAAATGAAAAGTCCTGGTTCTGTCTTGTTTTACTTCCCTTTTATTTCTTCCCTATTTGTTAGAGGTGGAAGTTAATGGATTTATAGCTCTTGACAAATGAGGAACATTTTTTTCTCTTATATAACAAGTCTCGATTGATATCTGACAAAACCAGTTAGCAATTTATTTGGAGTATTTGGAAATGAATTATAACATGGAAAAATCCTACTGGTACATTGGCAAGTGGATGGGACCAGATGATCAAATATTTCATTTCTATATCTACATTTCATGAGTCAGTTTCACACAACAGCTGTTGTGGGGGAAGGGTTGACGTACCAGGATACTTCATGATTTATGAAAAAGAAAAAAGGGAAAAAATGCATTTGGTCATGAAATGGTGAACCAAGGACATTTATTGCTAAAAGGTTGCTTGAAACATAAAATAGTCATTTGTTTTTGTTTCAGTGTTTTAAATTATAGAAAGCAATGGTTAATTTAAAAACTCCTCTAGCTTGTAAATAATGGTAACTGGTAGCAGATAGTTGGTGGCTGTTGCCTGGGTGTTAAGCATTTCACCCACAGTCATCTTATGTGATGGACGTATGGGGATTATCCCCGCAGCAGAGGCCTTGGAAGTGAGAGACTTCTAGGGCTGATGCAGGTGGGAGTGGTGGAACTGGGGTTGCTGGCAGGGCTCTTCTGGAACTGGTGCCCTCACGCACTCTGAGAATTGGCTGCAGGTAATCAAGAGAAAACATGACTTGTGAATTGAGCCTGTCTCCTTAAAACAAATGCCTGTTTATTTTCGTGTATTAAATTTTTTTCCTTGAGTACCTTCCGGGATTAAGAAGTGATTGGTTCCTGCTATAATAAATCCCGTTTTTCTCGTTTTCTTGATGGAGACATGTTGCTATTTGGGTCTGAGGCTTCCCACGTTTAGGTCCCACACACTCAACAGAAGCCCGTAAAAATGAGGAGCACGCAAGGCAAGGCTACGTTTGGAGCGCCTGTTTTCTCAGTTTTATGGTGTGCTCATGAAGAGTCCGTCTGGCAGAGACTATTCCACCGGGCCCAGAACTAGTTAGTTAATAAAAGCAGGATTGTTGAAACTTAGGAGGTAAGTGAGTTCATTTGGACTGAGCTGGGAGGCCACAGACAAGCCTGGGTAAGAGCTGGGTCACACGTGGTGCTGCGGCTGCCCTCAGGCTGGTATGTGATGCGGAGTGAGTTGGACGGAGTAGGTGTTTCTGGTCTTATTTTGAATGGGCAGGGTGCTTTTGGAGGAAGGCGTTGTCTCTGAAAGATGGCCTCACTTTTTGATAGACACTGTTGCCATGGAGATCTGTATATTCTGCAAACTAACTTCTGGTAATAGGAAGTGTGGCTCTGGGCTGTGTGTGGGGGGCTGTGAGAGCAGAGTGCATTGCAGAGGTGCAGCCAGTTTTCAGGAGCTTATCTTCCAGTAGCCAGATACCCATGAGTCAGTCCTTGACAGCCTGCCTTCCTCATTGTCTTTGTTCCTCTGTGTGTGTGTGAGGCAGTTGTCCCTTCACGAGTCTCAGGGTGCCCCTTCTCACCCAGAGCCGGAGTTCGCTGGACGCCCTTCCAATCTGTTTTTAATTCTTCTGCTCCATCTGTATGTCCATAAACTGCATTCTTAAAGTTCATCTAAATACCATCATGCTTCATATGTCATTTTACAACTTGCCTTTTCATTACTGGATTTTTTTTAAGTTTTATGTATATATTTGAGAGAGTGAGGGCTCCCATGCTTGGATTCACTCTCCAAATACTTGCAATAGCCAGGGAGGTTGAAACCAGGGAGCCAGGAACTCAATCCAGGTCTCTCCCATGGGTGGCAGGAACCTATCCACTTGAGGCATCCTGCTGCCTCCCAGGGTCTGTATTAGCAGTAACCTGTGATCAGGAACTGGAGCAGGGAATTAAGTCCAGGGACTCTGATATGGGATGTGTGGTCCCAGCTGGCATGTTACTCGGCAGGCCAAATGCCTGCCCTTTAGCTAACATTGACATCTCTCTCATTCAGTCGTTGAAAAACTTTTTGAAGATTTATTTAGTTTATTTGAAAGGCAGAGTTAGAGAGAGAGAGAGAGAGAATGAATATATCTGCTATTTTACTTTCCAAATGGCTATAACGCAAATGGTCTGAACTCCATCCTCATCTCACTGTGGGTGGCAATAGCTTAAGCACTTAGGCCGTCTTCCGCTCCTTTCCTAGGTGCATTAGCAGGGAGCTGGATTGAAAGTGGAGCAGCCGGGACTCAAACTAGTGCTCAAATCGGATGCCAGCATCCTAGGCGGTAGCTTAACCCACTGTACCACAACATCAGCCCCTACATTTTTTTTTAAATTTTAATTTTTTGTAGGTTACAGAACGATATGCTACATGTATACAATATATAATAACTAAACAGGGTAGTTGGCTTTTCCATTTCCTTAAACTTAAAAAACATTAAAGAAATATTTAATAATAGTGACATGTGTCAGCGGTACAGTGTGACACTCCAGTACACATGCAAGTTCACAGCGCATACTGATTAAGTCAGGGAAATCGACAACTCCATGTCGCCATCGACATCTCATGTTTGAAGCCTTCCAGCAGCTCCTTTCCAGCCATTCATGAAACCTTGGAGCTTACTGTGCCCACAGTGTGCTGTACAGCACCAGCATGCTTCATTTATTTTACTTTATTATTTTAAAGAGGATGCAAACTTTGAAAAAATTTTTATTTTTTGTTTTCTTTTATTCAAAAGGCACACGTGCGTGCACACACACAGATACACACACACACAGATACACACACCTACAGAGCAAGTGAGCAGGAGGGAGAGAGATTGCCCATCTGCTGGTTCACTCCCCAAATGCCCATAACAGCTATGACTGGGCCAAGCCATAGTCAGGAGCCAGAAACTCAGTCCAGATCTCCCACATGGGTGGCAGCAACCCAAGTACTTGACTTGACCCCTGCTGTATCCCGGGGTTTACAGGAATTTGGAATTGGCTGTGAAGTCTGGACTCGAACTCAGGCGCTCTGTGGATGCTGGCATCACAAGCTGGGTTTTAGCTGCTGTTCAGACACCAACTCCAAGTTCATTTATTTCGTTGGTGGATAGTATACCATTGCACCACAGTTGATCTAGTGCTTTGGCGATGGACATTTAGACATTCTTCTGTAACTCCAAAGTTCCATTTGTTTCTGTCCATTCCACGTTGTTGAGTTTAGGAACTCAATATCTGCTTGATTTCATTTTTATTTGGCTAAAGCTATTTTGTTAATTATTAAGTTGTCTTTAATCTGTTCTCTCAAGTCTTTGAAATGATCTCTCTTCAGTTTATTACTTTTAAAAAATTGTCAGGACCGGTGCTGTGGCATGGCGGGTAAAGCCACCACCTGAAGTGCTGGCATCCCATCTGGGCACCGGTTTGAGTCCTGGCTGCTCCACCTCTGATCCAGCTCTCTGCTATGACTTGGGAAAATAGTAGAAGATTGTCTGAGTCCTTGGGCCCCTGTACCTACATGGGAGACCCAGAAGAATCTCCTGGCTCCTGCCTTTGGATTGCTGCAGCTCTGGCATTTGCGGCATCCTGGGGGGAGTGAACCAGCAGATGGGAGACCTCTCTCTCTCTCTCTCTGCCTCTCTGTAACTCTGCCTTTCAAGTAAAATAAGTAAATCTTTAAAAAAGAAAAAAATTGGCCGGCGCCGCGGCTCACTAGGCTAATCCTCTGTCTTGCGGTGCCGGCATACCGGGTTCTAGTCCCGGTCGGGCCGCCGGATTCTGTCCCAGTTGCCCCTCTTCCAGGCCAGCTCTCTGCTGTGGCCCGGGAGTGCAGTGGAGGATGGCCCAAGTGCTTGGGCCCTGCACCCCATGGGAGACCAGGAGAAGCACCTGGATCCTGGCTTTGGATCAGCGCTGTGCGCCGGCCGCAGCGCGTCAGCCGTGGCGGCCATTGGAGGGTGAACCAATGGCAAAAGGAAGACCTTTCTCTCTGTCTCTCTCACTGTCCACTCTGCCTGTTAAAAAAAAAAAAATTGTCTTCAGGTGCCGGTGCCGTGGTGTAGTAGGCTAAGACTCCGTCGATAGTTCTGGCATCCCATTTGGACCCCAGCTTGTGTCTTGCTGCTCTTCTTCTGACCTAGCTCTCTGCTGTGGCCTGGGAAAGCATTGGAAGACTGCCCAAGTGCTTGTGCCCTTGCAGCCACGTTGGGTGACCCAGAAGAATCTCCTGGTGTCTGAGCAGCCCAGCTCCAGCCATTGTGGCCATTTGGGGGCATGGATGGAAGACCCTTCTCTCCGTCTCTCCCTCTCTCTCTCTGTAACTCTACCTCTCAAATAAATAAATAAAGTTATCTTTGATGGGGGCTCCCGTGGTGTTGCAGTGGAGTAGCCATGACTTGCAGTGTCAGATCCCATATTGGAACACCGATTCAACTTCTGCTGATCTGCTTCGACCCAGCTTCCTGCTCACACAACAGGGAAGGCAGAGGAAGAGGGCCCACGTGCGTGGGACCCTGCCGCTCACACGGGAGGCCAGAACATGCTTCCTGGCTCCTGACTTCAGTCTGGCCCAACTGGCGGCTGTTGCAGACAGCTGGGGAGTGAGCCAGTGGATGGAAGATTTCTCCCTTTCTTCCTCCCTCTGTTGTTCTGCCTTTCGAATAAAGAAATCTTTAAAACAAATTATCTTGGGTATCCTTCAGGCGTTTCTTTTCTTTGGATATTCAACCTAGCAAAAGTGTGGTACCCACACCCAGGAACGTGCAGCGTGGCTGGGCGCCGGGATGGTCTCGATTCATCTTTGCAAGATGCATTGTTTTTAGAAGGTCCTAATTAACAGCACTGCTGTTGACTGCAAGGAGCTGCTTGTAACACCCTTGGTGGGTCAGTGAGTTGTAGAGAAAGCACAGATAAAACATTCTGGATACTTCGGATCAAGCTGCGTTGATGATTGCACTTATTAAATAACTTTCTTATTAAAAGCATTTTTATATTATCGTAGTGCTGTTCAGAAAGTGACACTGAAAGTAACACGGAATTGTGTTTGCTCAACACAGCTGTGAAAAATACAGGTTATGTCAGTGCTGTCATTGAAATATCATGTAAGCCACACATGTAAATTTAAAATTTTCTAGGAGCCAAACTAAAAAAGTAAACTGAACACAGGTAAAATAAATGTTATTTAATCAACATGCCCCCAAAACATTGTTACTTTCCACGTGTTATATATTTAGAAGCCTGTGGAGATATTTTGTTTCTTTTCATACCAAGTGATTGAAATCCAAGTGATTGAAATTCCTTTTTACAATTTTTATTGATTTGAAAGGCAGGTAGGGAGAGAGAGAGGTAGAGAGGGAGAGGGAGAGAGAGAGAGAGAGAGAGAGAGAGAGAGAGAGAGAGAGAGAGATTTCTCATGTGCTGTTTCACTTCCTCACTGCTCACAATAGCCAAGCTGCGGCCAGGAGCCTAGAAAGCAGTTCAGGTTTCCCATGTGGGTTGCAGTGACCCAAGTACTTGAGCCATCACCTGCTGCCTCCGGGGTATGCATGAGCTGGAAGCTGGATTTGATCCCAGGCCCTCTAGAAATGGGATACAGTGTCCCAGGTGCCATCTGAACTGCGGTGCTGGAAGTCCTGCTCCACAGTTGTGTGTTTCATACTTAACAGTGTACCCCAGTTGGGGCTAGAGTGCATCTCACAGCTAAATGTCACCAGTGGGTAGTCAGGTATAGAAAATCCAGGTTTAAGGATCAGCATGGGTGCAGGTTGGAGGGAGTGTTCTGGGAGGAGCTGGGAGGCTCCCCCCCGGCTCAGTAAAACCTAAGACACTAGATGCTGCGTGGGATGTCAGGAAGGACCTTAGGTGCATGGCCTGAGCAGTAGGAGTGACTGTCTCATGCCAGAGTAAGCAGCTGGCCTGTCCCAGAGGGCTGACCTTCAGAGAAGTGGGGAGGGAGGGTTCTGGGGGTTAGCTTCAGCACCTGATCAAGGGTTGTGGGCAGAGCCACGTGCCATCTGTTCGTAAGGACAGATTCCTTATCTGGTTATCTGGTAGGAGAAGATCATGCAGACAGGTTACTTTTTTTTTTTTTAATATTTATTTATTTATTTGAAAGAGTTACACACAGAGAGGAGAGGCAGAGAGAGAGAGAGAGAGGTCTTCCACCCACTGGTTCACTCCCCAATTGGCCTCAACAGCTGGAGCTGCGCCAATCCGAAGCCAGGAGCCAGGAGCCAGGAGCTTCCTCCGGGTCTCCCACATGGGTGCAGGGGCCCAAGGACTTGGGCCATCTTCTGCTTTCCCAGGCCACAGCAGAGAGCTGGGTTGGAAGTGGAGCAGCTGGGTCTCAAACCATCATCCATATGGGCTGCTAGCGCTTCAGGCCAGGGCGTTAACCCACAGCGCCACAACAAGGGCCCTGACTGGCAGGTTAATGAAAGTGTTATGTGTCCCTTCCCCAGATAACTCCCCTCCTCCCATATTTCATGGTCATCCTTGCAGAGAACTAATTTGGATAAGCTCTGAGGTGGTTGTTATATCATTCTAAGTGATTACTGTAAAGAGCATGATTAGGGATGGGAATGAGTTTATAAAAGCAACAAAAAGTGGGATGTTGGCCTGTATGCGTATGCTTAATGCTTTGGGTATGATCAGTTGTACAATCAAAAATTAAGAGTTTTAAACTTTAGTGCATTTTGGACTTTCTTCACATTTTTACCATCATATTAAAGGGAAGGAAACTGTGGCATCATTAATCTAAAATTATTTTTTATTTTCTACATTACTTTTCTATTAACTGGCTTTTTCTTTAAAACTGATTTTTGCTAAACATTATTAGGGAAAGTTACTTGCAATGTAAGGGGTATCATACTTACAGAACACAAGGTACTTTTATGTTTCAGTAATAGAAACAGCAGTAATAAACAAGGGAAAGGAAAAATACAAAAGGAACTACAAGTGGTCTAAAATACACGAAAAGCGATTTCCACTAGAAACTATGCAATTTGCACAAAACACCATTTTTTGGTTTTTGAAATTGAAAAAATATTGGAGAAAGATAATAGCCAGTTTTCCTAGGGGTTTGAAGAGACAGGTTAGGTGCTTAGCTAGAGTCACACAATTTGGGTGGCAGATAAGTATTACAGTATTGTTTACACTTCTATGGCTTGATGGTGTGAATACAGAATTGGGACTACAAGGCTGTTGTGTCTTGTTGATCCTGAAGATACTTTTGGTAGAGATCAGGGATGAAAGCTGGTTGAAGCATGCCCAGGTAGGTGTTAGATGAGATATATTGTTCCATGTTTACTTCCTTTTTCCACTAAACATGGAATTTATTGTTCATTCCATAGTTTTCTGTAAAGCACTCCTGAAGTTTAGTGAGCCCACATTTTACTGTTGTTTGTTTCAGCAGTAGAACATTGTCTTTCTGTTTATTGTATTCTGGTGTGACTGTCTAAAAGAAGCAAAAGTAAATTGAATTCTTATTAGACACATTATTTCCTTTTGTGCAATCTCTCTCCATAGCCTGGTTTCTCAGGTTTCATATTTCATTAGCGTTTTGTTACTGTGTTTCTTAAAGAGAGAAGGTTGTGGATAAATTATTTTTGGATCCAAATTAAGCTTCTATTAGTTTATTTACTACAGCAGTTTCTAGCTATGGATTTTCTAAGCTCCATGGTGCCTTGAATTTCTGGTATAACCCCTAAGCAAGAGAGGGTAGAATATATGTTCTCAAGCTTCATTGACTGAGAATCCTTCTGCAGAGTCATCGTGAAAGTTAATTAGAGCCGGTGCCGGCACACCGGGTTCTAGTCCCGGTCGGGGCGCCGGATTCTGTCCCGGTTGCCCCTCTTCCAGGCCAGCTCTCTGCTGTGGTCAGGGAGTGCAGTGGAGGATGGCCCAAGTGCTTGGGCCCTGCACCCCATGGGAGATCAGGATAAGCACCTGGCTCCTGCCATCGGATCAGCGCGGTGCGGCCATTGGAGGGTGAACCAACGGCAAAGGAAGACCTTTCTCTCTGTCTCTCTCTCACTGTCCACTCTGCCTGTCAAAAAATAAAAAAGTTAATTAAAGTTTCAGTTTTTTTCTTTCTTCCTACTCCCTGCCCCCCCCCCCTTTTTTTTTTTAAAGATTTACTTATTTATTTGAAAGGCAGAGTTACAGAGAGGGAGAGGCAGAGGCAGAGAGAGAGAGAAATCTTCCATCCAGTGGTTCACTCCCCAAATGGGCACAACAGCTGGAGCTGGGCCTATCCAGAGCCAGGAGCTTCTTCCGGGTCTTCCACATGAGTGCCAGGGTCAAAGCACTCAGACCATTTTCCGCTGCTTTCCCAGATGCATTAGCAGGGCGCTGGATGGGAAGTGGAGCAATCGGGACTCGAACCAGTGCCCATATGGGATGCCAGCACTCCAGGTGGCGGCTTTATTTGCTGTTCTACAGCACTGGCCCCGTCCCCCTCCTTTAATAAGAGGCTGTTTTATATCAGTAATGGAAAAGAACAAAAGAATGGTTCCCTGTGTTTAATCCCTAAATAGATTGTTTCTATGTATATTATTGTATGAGCTCTCAAATTGTTTTACCTGTTAAGCCCCCAGAGTTCTTGATGGAATTGCTCAGCAGGGGTAAGTGTGCCCCATCTGTTATCAGAAGTTCTTAGGAGACAAAGCTGCTGTTACGAACAGATATGCCTTAGTAAAAACATAATTTTAAGACTTCATAGATAAAATTTCCTGGCACCAAAATTGTTGTAAAGATGATTTGGCACAGGTGGAAATTGGATCTAGAAAGACTATTTTAATTAATTAAAACAAAATTTTTTTAATTAAAGACTTTATTTGAGAGGCAGTGTTACAGAGAGAGGGAGAGACAGAAAGTGAGTCTTCCACCCACTGGTTCACTCCCCAAATGGCTGCGGCAGCCCGAGCTGGGCCGATCCAGAGCCAGAAGCCAGGAGCCTCTTCTAGGTCTCCCACATGGATGCTGGGGCCTAGGTGCTTGGGCCATCTTCTACAGCTTCCCCAGGCCATGGCAGAGAGCTGGACCACAAGAGGAGCAGCCGGGACACGAACTGGCGCTCATCTGAGATGCCTGCACTGCAGGTGGCGGCTTTACCCGCTATGTCACAGCTCCGATCCATCTTAATTCTTTTAGTGAGAAGGTTTTGACTTGCATTTTCCAAATCCTAGTAGGCTCACCAAATTGTATTCATATATATATTGTTATTAGTTATATTGTATTACTAGCAGTATTATTCTATTTGCAGTAATTCTATAGAGTCATTCGTAGCCACTGAATTAGCTCCATCAGGAAACACATGAGGTTCCTGCGGCTCTCTGATGACGTATTTCTTTTATGTGTGCGTCTGCTTACAAACACCTTACTTAATATTCACAGTATGTTTGATTCGTTGACAGGGGATTCATAGCCAGGAGCAAGATTGCCCACACCTGAAGGCAGCTTGTCTCAGGGACGTGACAGCCTTCTTGCACTGTGCCTGTAGTCCGCTTCATTCTTTTTAAGTTTGAGAGGCAGAGAAAGAGAGAGATGGAGAGGTGGAGGTAGGGGAGAGAGCCTAGCTGTGGCTTGGCCTGGACCAAAGCTGGAGCTGGGAGCCGGAATGCATTCCAGGTCGCTTGCTTGGATATCAGGAACCCAACTACTTGAACGGTTTCATTGCCTCACAGGGTCTGCGCTGGAAGGAAGCTGGAGTTAGGAGATGAAGCTGGGTACCGAATGCAGGCGGCCCTTACATGGGACACAGGCGTCTGAACTGCCAGGTTAAATGCCTGCCTTAAATAGCTAAATCACCAAAGAAGCACACAAAATTGGGAAAAATGTGAAATCGAATTGCCATGAGAAAGATACTTCCTAACAGTATGAGAACCAAAGCAAGAAGGCAGAGGATTCGCTTGTCCACCTCACCTGGGAGTGTTGCTCCACGTGTGCCTGGAACAACTGTGGAAGTGCCACGAGCATCGTGTGTGGTAGTTGCAAATATATTTTTGCAAATAGATTCACAAATAGGAGTTTGTGGAACCCGTGATGAATGGGCCGTGTTTGGGTGGTTCTGTTATCAAACGTTGACCCAGCAGCTCAGGTGGCAGGCCCCTGAGGAGTTGACCCTGCTTGCCTGCCTCTTTTAGGCCTGGTGCTGGTGTTCTAGGTCCAGCTGGAGCATGAAGACGGTGTAGTGACCAGAACGAGGGCTCAGCTGGACACTTTGTGCTCACAGTTGTTGGCTATATCAGAGATGTATATTGTGCTTCCTGTTCCTTGTGCTTTGCATACTAGTGTAAGTTATGATGAAGAGCATAAGTAGCATAAATACTGGCTTCGAAAACAGACTGCATCATTTGCAACCGAGTTCTGCCGTCCATCGTTTGGCGGCTTGTTCTTGTGGACTCAGCTGCAGTGATGCGGGCCCCTCTGTGGAGGGTGGTTCAGTCTGGTGCTGACTGAGCGGGACGGGACTGAAGAGATAATTGAGTCCAGTGGAATGACCAGACTTAAGCAGAGCTTGTTAACTAATTATTAAGGATTTTTCTTTTTCATTTCAGATGGTCAAATGGATTTTATGTGGTGACTTAGTTTTTCATAAGATTAAAGACATATTAAGCACCTGTTAGGCTTAAAGCTCCGTGGTAGACTGTGGAGAGTGAATCTAAATAAGTAAAACATGTTGTTCCTCTTAGGCGCTCACAGTCTGTCTTTTAGAATGCAAAATATTAAAAAACAAAAGAAGTGTGGGCTTCTGGAGAGAAGTTGGTTCGTCAGTGCTTGGAGTGGAAGGTAGCTGGCAGCATCACGTTGCTTTGTGACGTTGTAGTCATTCGTGTGTGTTTGTGTTGCAGAGCGAGTGTCTGTGTATAAAAGTAGGGCATCACCCAAAATAATCCAGTGTTGCATTTCAGGAGAGTAGTTACTTGTGTGGCACTTGTGTGGCAGTAACAGCATTGGACAGGAGTGTTGGAACGAGACAAGCCATTGCTTGTAAGGATAAGGCCCCTTGGTGGATCCTGGGCATGGCCGTGGGAAGGAGGGGTAGAGGAGCAAGAGTCTGTAGGTCTTGATCCCTGAGGACGAGTGGAGAGACTGTGGGCAGTGAGCCCCGGGGCCTTTCAGCTGAGGGATGTGCCTCCTCTGCAGTCTAAATCATTCCTTGTCTGGAATTCATATCCGCAGATCCGCGGGTATGACACGCGTCAGAATCCATGAAATTCCTTAGCGTTGTTTCGATTTTTAGCCGCAGCACAAAACTTTTTTTAGGTTCATCTGTCCACACATGTATGGTTGTTTTCAAAAATAAATCTTTTATTCTGGAACAATTTTAGATTACAGAAAAGTCACAAAGGTACTGTAGAAAGCTTTTGTTTATACTTGACTGAATTTTCCCCCAGTTGTTACTATCTTAACATTCATCTGTGAAAACTAAGAAGCCGTCGTTGGTATATTACTGTGAACTGGACTTGCAACTTTACTCAGACCCCTGGTTTTTCCACTAGTGAATCTTTTTGGCCCAGGATCCTCTCCAGGACACCTCGTTGTGTCGTTGAGCCTCCCTCTCTGGCCTGTGCCTTTGCCTCGTTTTTTCTTCCTTTGACCGTTTACGGGCTGATGTTCAGGTGTTTTTAATAATGCCCCTCAGCTGGGATTTGTGTGATGGGTTTCTGGTAATCAGAATGTGGTTATAGGTTTTTCTGTTTCAGTCATGTTGTGTCAAGTGTACATGCTGTCACCATGGCTCATCACTGCTGATGTCCACCTTGATTACCACCTGAATTACCTGCGCTAGTGTTGTCAGGGGTCTCCACTATAGTCCTCCACCCTCCTGTGCACCCACTTCTTCACAAGCAAGCCATTAAATCCAGCACACACTCCAGGGGGACGTGTAGTTAAGTTTCCCTCCTGGAGGGAAGTATCTAAATTTACAGGGCTGTGTTTGGAATTCTTCTGTAAGGTGTATTTACCTCTGTCTGTCTGTCTGTCTATCTCCTGCATATATTTTTTCAGGATGGACTCAAGTGTATTTCTTTCAGCCTGTGGCTTATGACTTCATAGTAAGTCATGTATTTCATTGCTCAGACTTTTCAGCTGTTGGCATTCGAGCTCTTTACTGCTTGCCCCTGTTTCCATTCAGAGTGTCCTTGTTTGTTTGAGAACTCTCTTACTGCCTGTTACTAGGAAGTACTCCAGGTTCATCATGCATTTTCCTTTTTCCTCGCCGCAGTCCTAGGGTCACCGTTTCTCTAAGGGTCCCTGGATCCTCTTACTTATGGAGAGTGATAGTGGAAACCAAGGTCTGGTGCTGGGCTGCTGCTCGCTCCCTGGGTCTCTCTGGAAGAAGATAGGACACAAATGCACGCGTACCACTACACAGAAGTATAGCTTTGTTGTGTCAAGGCTTTCAGACGCTCTGTGTGTAAAGCTTCATACTTGGAGGTTAGCATCGAGCTCTTGGGGCTGGCCTTGTGGCGTGGAAGTTAAGCTACTGCTTGTTGTTGCACCCCTTGTTGGGAGTGTCAGTTCATGTCCTGGCTGACGTGGCTGGTGGACTGTGGACGATGGCACAAGCACTTGGGCCCCTGCCTCCTATATGGGAGACCTGAATGGAGTTCCTGGCTCCTGGCTTTGGCTTGACTGATGTGGCCATTTTGGGGAGTGAAACAGTGGGTGGAAGGTCTCCCCTGTCCCCTTGCTTCGCCCCTCGCCCTTCCCCCTCTCCCCCATCACTTTGCCTTCCAAATAAATAAATCTTTTAAAATTAAACTCTGCAGGCAATCTGTTATTTTTTAGGCACGGCCACGAATGTCTATAAATCAATACCATTACATAGACATCTCCTCCAGAGCCCTCTTCTCTTTTTTGGTTGTAAAGTATTATATTTTTGTTACTGTTGACTCTCCCGGCATGGAACTTTGTGCAGAACTTTTTGCAGCCTGTGAAGAATGGTATATTTCACATTTTCCCTAAAAGAAGAGATATTTGGATTTTGTTATTTTGGGGTTTGATAGGTTACAAGCTGGGATAATTTCCTCATAGTCATGAGTTTATTGTGCAAAGAGAATTCACATGTGTGAATTTCTATATTGGTTTTCAAGCATTTTTTTTTTTTTTTTAAAGCTTACTTGAGAGGCAGAGAGAGCAAGCGAGCCAGCTCCCATCTGCTGGCTGTTTCTCCAGATGCCTGCAATGGCTTGGGCTGGAACAGAACCAAGCCCAGGAGCCCTGAACTCAATCCTGGTCTCCCTTGTGGGAGGCAGAGACCCAGTGAGCTGAATCATCACCATGTTCTCCCAGGATCTGCATCGGCAGGAAGCTGGAGTCAGGGGCCAGGGGTGGGTATCAAACCCTGACTGATGTGGGACGACCACTAGGCCAAATGCCCGCCTCCTTTGTTGGCATCAATATCAGTTGGTGCGGTGGGCATGCACTTATTTTGATGTGGAGTCACGGAACTGAATTGAGATTGTCCAGCTCAGCGGTTCCCGTGACTGTACATTGAAACATTTGGGGAGCTTTAAAAAACACTCATGCTGGGCTCTTATCCCCAGGAATCATAATTTAATTGATTTGGAGTGTGGCCTGGGCCCCAGACTTTTACAGGGCTTCCCCAGGTGATTGTAATGTGCAGTCAGGTTTGAGAAACTCTGTTATCATCCCTTACTCAGGACGAGAAAAGTGAGACCTGGACGTATTAATCAAGTAATTGCTACTCTGAGGATCCAAAACCATGATGAAATTTAGCATGACTCTTAACCTAACGTGCATACTGATGCTTTTAATCATTTAGACGTGCAACTAGAAAGGCTGGAGAAGTCTCTCTTCTCCTAGTCTCTTCTTTCAGCTGGGCTACCGGTGACTCGCCAAGGTGAGAAGTTTGGATTCAGCGCAGGAGTGGCTGGATTGTGTCTGACAGCTGTAGCCTTTCTGACTCGACCCCCCTGCCCTCCCCCCCCAGCAATTTCCTGAAATTGGATGTTTGCAGTTTCTTTGAGAGAATATCCCCACCGTGGATGTTCTTTATAGAAAACTGTAGGCTGTTCAAGGAAGAATACTTTGCAAAATTTCAAGTAAAGAGTGTTTTGGATGAAACCGAGGTTTAGCTGCCCTTACGTTAGGAGGACGTACACACACCGCACTGCCTGGCATGGTCTACGGTAGTCACTCAGTTGGTTTGTGAGTGAACAAATGAAAGGTCTGTGTTTTAGTTGTTAAGCATGTGGCTATCTCTCAGCTGATAAGTGCGGATACTGTAGCCTCAAGGATCTCTGCTTTGACTGGTTAGATAAGGACTCTGACCTTCTGCAAGTTGCTTAACTTCTTTAGGCTCCAGTTTTCTTGTAAAGTTAGGGTTGGATAGATGCTTTTTCAGGACTTTTCCAGCTCTTAGCATTTTATGATTCTATGACCATTAACGCTTGCCAATATAATATTAAGTAAGAATGCTATCTCCTAGCCGTCTGGAGGAGGTAGTGCTGTCACTGGGCTCCTCAGGAGGTTGTCCATCTGGTTAGAACTAGAGAAGCAAATAAAATATATTTAAAAATAAAAAAAAAAAAAACGAGAGAAGCAAGTAGGACTCAGGACATTGATGAAATGACAAGGAAAAAAACTTATTAGGTCTGTAGAATTTGGCTTTGAAGGACAGTATTTGGTCCATTCTCTCCTGGCACAACTCTTGATTTCTCCTAAGAAGTGAAGAAGATGTTGGGCTAGGCTGAGCCTAAATTTCTACCCCAGACTCGTGCCTTTTACTTAGAGAGGAATTCTAAGTACAGGCACAAACATGATGTGCAGTGTGACACTGTTTATTTGCAAAGTGAGGAAAATACACAGACACTTGTGGGCTTTATTTAGGGAGAGTGGACTGAGAAAGGTAAAGGGGATTTTCATATCCTGCTCACTCTGGGTCCATGAGGAGAGGAGAGAGAGCACGTCTGCTTTATCCAGTGTCTTATGAGCTTAGAAAAATGGAAGTGTTCACATGACACCACCCCGGGTCCTGGGTAAGGCGAAGTACTTCCTGGGAAAGGAGACATCTGATTGACAGATAGGTGGATATGGTAACATGGAGCGGGGGAGGTGTGGCTTCCAGCTTCTGAGCTTTATCTGTCCGACTTATCCATTATCGAGGGCACATTGTAGTGTTGCCCAACTCATTGTCATGTGTGTCTGTCTTTTGAAATCCTTTCGCTCACAAGGTTGTCTTTGGTTTTTAGAAAATGCATCCTTCTAGTATCCTTACACTCCGGTCACAATCCCTTAGCTAACCACCTTGCTTGTGTTTTTTCTTTGTTTTTCATTTGGATTGCCTCAGAAACCAGGCGTTGCACTTAGCACTGAAGAAAGAGCTAGTGATGAGTGATCGATGTCTGGCTGTGTGAACGTCCTGGGTGATTTGTACCATACACTTCTGAGTTAGTGATTGACTAAGGAGGATTTGGAATTTAGACCTGTCTTGTTTAACCGGTCTTAAACACTTTTGGAATCAGAGATGCAGAGCGAATCAGTAACTTGCCCAGGTTTTCGGATAGAATCTGTTTTCAGAAGTCCATCAGATTTCCTTCCATGCATCTTGAGAATTCTACATTTAACTGGACGGAGACACTTGTTCTGTTTTGGTAGCAATTGCTGTGAGAATCATCCATGTACCACAGGAACGATTCTGACTGCCTAGAAAGCTGGCCAGGTGTATAACCTATTATCAGTGTGTAGTATGAACTGTGTCTTAGTAGCTTACATAGTCACTTAAGGCAATAGGTTTCAGCTGTGAAAAAGCAGCGACGATTTTGATATTTGGCATTCAGAATATCTATAACTTCTTTAATAGAAACCACAGAAATTACCATGGGGAGACTTGTTGCTGAGAGTGGCTGCTGTCATTCTCCGCTGGGAAACTGTAGTGTGGAGAAGTGCGATTTGTCTGTTCCCTAGCGGTGTGTACAGGTGAGGAGAAGGTGAGACACTTAGCACTGAAGGCCAGTCGGGGATTCCAGCTGAGCAGTTTTACTTTGATTGGCGGTCAGCCTCTTGCCCGTTTCTTTGTTTCCTCTTCCTTGTTTTGACAAGATCTAAAAGGAGTAGAAGATTGAGTGTTGGCATTTCTTCTTCCCCTTGGCCCTGAACAAAGGTGGGAATGTTCTTTCTTGAGAAGAAATTTTTTTTTTTTAATTGGGACGGAGATAATGGGCTTCTTTGTAAAAGACATTTCCAGGTAGGAGAACATAAGTGATGTTATCTGTTTCTCTGGTAGGACCATTGCTGGGCTTTTTTTTTTCCCCCACTTGAATTGACTTAGGACAGGCAAAATTCCTGGAATTTGAGCGCCATTGCAGAAGACTTGATAGTTCTCAGGTGTGCTTTTTGATTCTCTCTCAAGGAATAAAACAGCACTGTCTGGTGTCTTGGCAGGCTTGTGAATTTAATTAGTAAATGCACTCTTACGTCAAACTGTGGAACTCTTTTTTAAAAGTAAGAGCAATGTGTGATCTTGAAAAACAACAAATTGCATTTGTTATGTATATATCATTTCTAAGTGTAGATGAGCTAGATAATTATTTGAAATAGCCCATTTCTAACATCCTTGCTCTGAAAACCTTTGAGGTGTGCTCTTTATGTTATCCAGTTGAATTATTTGTTGTTTCTAATTTCTCCTTGCAAGCTGTAAGCAGCTCTTTCCAAGATTCTAGACTAAAATGCAGCTATCATCCACAGTCATAAAAGTCACCTGTTGTGAATTACTGCCTTATCAAGCACCGTAAGAATGCAGAAGCAGGTGGGTGAATTGTGCTTGCTCTGATTTTATCACTGTTGTCTTTGGATAAAGTTAGTGGACTACTGAGTGTGCCTGAAGTGGTGCTTGCCTTTGCTATACATACAAATTACAATTAATAAAAGGTAGGTAACACAGAAAGCATTCTAAAGTTGAAGATTGGGCTTATGGGCTGGCACGGTGGTGTAGTGGTATAGTGGGTGAAGCCACCACCTGGGGCGCCTGCATCCTATATGTCCCAGCTGCTCCTCTTCCGATCCAGCTCCCTGCTAATGCTCCTGGGAAAGCAGTGGAAGATGACCCAAGTGCTTGGGCCCCTGCACCTGTGTGGGAGACCTGGAAGGAGCTCCTGGCTCCTGGCTCCAGATCTGCCCAGCTCCAGCCGTTGCCACCATTTGGAGAGTGAATCTTGCATTTCTCTCTCTCTCTCTCCCTCTCTCCTTCTTTCTTTGTAACTCTTTCAAATAAATAAATATTTTTAAAAAATTGGGCTTATATAGAATTAAGAAAATGCTCATTGGCAAGACAAATCAGGATATTGTTGAATGACCAGATCGGGTGGATGAACAGTTAAAGAGACAGTTCCATGTAATGTGCTGGGTAGGAGTGTGTGTAAAACCTTACTACCACCTGGGATCCTGAGTTCACAGAGTTTGGGAAGAAAGGACTAAAATGTATGCTGGTACTTTGTATTTTATGCTGAAGAGATCTTATTTATCATGGTGGTTAAGAATATGAGAGAGAAAATGAGAGAGAGAGAGAGAGAGAAATGGATTGCATCCACTGGCTCCCTTCTGAAACGGCAGTAACAGCTTGAGCTAAGCCAGGCCAGAGCCAGGAGGCTGGCACTCCATCTAGGTCTCCCTCCTGGGTAGCAGGGCCTCAAGCACTTGATCCCAGATGCATCAGGAGGAGCTGGACCAGAAGTCCGGCAGCCGGGCCTCTAGCAGGCCGCGACTTGGACCTGCTGTGCCACAGTGCCAGCCCCTGGGCAAGATTCTTACTCTGTCTGAATTCATTTCATCTGTCAGATGAGAACACTGAGAGGAGCTACCTCGCAGGACTCCTGTGGGCTTGAGGAGGATTCTTTCCAACAGATGGCTTCTAGGGTTGGGCACTCTTGGATCCATTACTTGAATATGCATAGTTGGCTCCATTGTGTTAAGGGCTTGAGTAGAGCCGGGAATGAGAGATTGTAAACAAAAAATACAATTTGTTTATATACATTTTTACTTCAAAACATTAGGATAGTAGGGGCCGGCCCTGTGGTGTACTAGGTTAATCTTCCACCTGCGGTGCCGGCATCCCATATGGGTGCTGGTTCTAGTCCCAGCTGCTCCACTTCCAATCCAGCTCTCTGCTATGGCCTGGGAAAGCAGTAGAAGATGGCCCAAGTCCTTGGGCCCCTGCACCCGCATGGGAGACCTGGAAGAAGCTCCTGGCTTCGGATCAGCGCAGCTCTGTCCATCGCGGCCACTTGGGGAGTGAACCAATGGAAGGAAGACCTTTCTCTCTGTCTCTCTCTCACTGTCTGTAATTCTACCTGTCAAATAAATAAATCTTAAAAAAATTAAATATAAAAAATTTAGGATAGCTTAGAATAGTGTCTTACAGAGTAGCTTCAGATATGTTACTATTATTAATAATATGCACATTTCTCTTTGAACTGTAATGGTAAAACCATAAAATTGCTATTGTCCATTTTTTAAAAAGATTGATTTATTTGAAATGCAGAATTACAGAGAGGTAGGGAGGAAGAGAGGGAAGCAGAGAAAGAGAGAGAGAAAGAGAAAGGACACTTGGTCTACTCCCCAAATGGCTGCAACTGCCAGTGCTGGGCCAGGCCGAAGCCAGGAGCCAGTAGTGTCATCTCGTCTCCCACGTGGTATAGGGGCCCAAGCATTTGGGCCATCCTCTGTTGCTTTCCCAGGTCATACTGGTGCCCACGTGGGATGGCAGCACTGCAGGTGGTGGCTTTACCTGCTATGCCACAGCGCTGGCCTCCCCTGTTGTACATTTTTATAAATGAAGCTCAGAGACATTTCTTTTTAGGTAAGCTGAGATTCAAATCTAAGCTTCAGATAACCAAGTCAGGGTATTCCTGATATACTCCCATACAGCATTTATCTGTTTGCCTAAAAGAAATAACAAATACTTAACATTTGTTCATTCCAGAAATGTAAGTTGGAGTTCACTGTAATCACTAAGACACTAAGATGCTTTGTGTTAGCGTTTTCGCTGTAGCTGATTTATGGCATTCTTGTTTGGTTATGTTGCTTTTAAATAGCCATAAAGCTAACCTGAGACAAAACCATGATTTTTACAACCTATCTGAAAAATAAAAATCCTGGTATCCTTGTGCCCTCTAATACCATATTATTAGCAAGTACAGTGATTAGATGCCTTTTTTTTTTTTAAAGATTTATTTGTTGATTTTAAAAAATGAGAGTTACTAAGAGTAGAGGAAGACAGGGGTCTTCCATCTGCTGGTGCGACCCCAAATTGCTGCAGTGGCCAGAGCTGGGCCAGTCTGAAGCCAGGAGCCAGGAGCCAGGAGCCAGGAGCTCCCTTGGAGTCTTCCACGTGGGTGGGGGCCCAAGCACTTGGGCCATCCTTCGGTGCTTTCCCAGGCACATCAGCAGGGAGCTGGATCAGAAGTGGAGCATCCAGGACTCAAACCTACGTCCATGTGGGATGTCAGTGCCACAGCCTGTGGCTTTACCTGCTATGCCACTGCACTAACCCCAGATACTGTTTTTTTTTTTTTTTAAAGTTTGTAAATTTTTATTTTTTTGAAAGGCAGAACTGGAGAGGGGTAAGGGAGGAGGGGAGAGATTTTTCATCTGCTGGCTTCCTCTCCAAATGCCTGCAACAGCCAGGGGCCTAATCCAAGAACCAAAAGCTTCCTCCTGTCTCCTGTGTGCATGGCAGAAACTCAGGTAGCTGAGCTGTCCCCTGCTGCCTCTGTGGAAGCGGAGGTGGGATTCAGTCCTAGACACTCTGACTTGGGGTTAAGAATGTCCTCATTGGCAACTCAACCTGATGTGCCACAGTGCTCATCTTGGTAGTTACGCACTTAAATAGGTTTGTAAAAATTTATGTGGAAGTCAGAGTTAGTTAGACACACAGACACACACACAGAGATCTTCCATCTCACTTCCCCAATGTCTGCAACAGCTGGGGCTGGACCAGGCCAAAGCCAGGAGACTGGAACTCTGTACTGGTCTCTCACCTGGGTGGCAGGGGCCCAAGTACTTGGGCTGTCTTCCGGCAGCATTCCCAGGCACTTTAGCATGGAGCCGAGTTGGAAGTGGAGCAGCTGGGATTCCAACCAGCATGCATATCTGGTGACTGTGTTGCTGGCAGCAGCTTAACCCCGTGAGCCATGACACTGGCTCCTACGTAGGTGTTTTTGACGAGGGAGCCAACTGCGTGTGATGGGAGTTCAGCGATTCCTTCCACTGTTTCCTATTTCTGAGTTTGCCAAACCCACCTCGTGTAAGACTGACTTGTGGGGAAGAGGTTGTGAAAAACAGGAGATTCCTGTTTCTAGATCCAGTGATTAGGGCAACCAGAGGGGACCTCAGAAGTATCTGTTAGCTAAGAAGCGTGATGCCAGTGCTAGTTCTCTCGCGTGGTGTATGCCTGGTCGTCGGCTGGTCAGGGTTCCGAGGGCAGTTGTGTCTCTGCACAAGGGAGGGGCTGCACGGCCCGTGCACGTCAGTAAACACGGGCAGACGCCAGTACCGTGAGGGCAGGACTGCAGCTGTGCCCTTCGTCAGGATCTGCTGGTTATGCCTGAGTGAGTCTGAAGGAAACTGCTCGTGATGGCCTGGAGGGTGGAGCCCTTCACCGGGCTTGAGGAAAAGCCAACCATCAGCTTCGTTACTAAGCAGCTGGGAGAGGAGGAGCGTTGATGTTTTCACCTACTATCGCTAGTACTTCTGAACTGTGTAATTATTGTGTTCTTGCTGTTCTGGTTAGCTGGGGTGAGTGAAAAAGACATTTCACAAGCCTACAAGTTTTGATGCACTTGTTATCTATTTGTGAAAAGAAATTATTTACTGAGTTCATTCTTAAGGATGGGTAGAAAACTTAGGAGACAATAACTTTATTATTTTAAAATTTTTATTTAATTTGGAAAGGGAAGGGGGAAAAGCATGCAAGCATTCTCTCTCATTTGCTGGTTCACTCCCCAAATCCCTGGAATGGCTAGGACTGGATCAGGTTAAAGTTAGGTACCAGGAACGGTCTAGATCACCCACATGAGTGACAGGGACCCAAGTATGTGAGCCATTACTCCTGCCTCCTGAGTTTGCATTGGCAGGAAGCTGGACTTGAACCCAGGCACTCTGGTAGGGGATGGGCATTCTGCTTGCTGGCTTGACTGATGCACCAAACGCCTGCCCCAGGCCACAGTGCATTTAATTTTTCTATTGCCAGAGTTTTCCTTATCCATCAGAACTTCAGGTTTTTCATTCAGAATTTTAAAAAGACCCCCAACACACCTCTGCGGCCTGAGTTTCTTTGCTGAGCAAGGAATTGCCCTTCTCTTGTGACAGGCCCTGGAGCAATGCGAGTGATTCCACCTCTTCTGCTGTTGTAGCAGTGGCAGGAGCGTATTGTTTAAAGAGTTCATTGGGGCCGATGCTGTGGTGCCGCGGTTAAAGCCCTGGCCTGCAGCACCGGCTCCAGTCCCAGCTGCCACACTTCTGATCCAGCTCTCTGCTGTGGCCTGGGAAAACGACAGAAGATGGCCCAAGTCCTTGGGCCCCTGCACCTGTGTGGGAGACCTGGAAGAAGCTCCTGGTTCCTGGCTTCAGATCAGCTCAGCTCTGGCCATTGTGGCCATTTGGGGAGTGAACCAGCAGATGGAAGACCTCTCTCTGGTTCTGCCTCTCTCTGGCTCTACTCTCTCTATAACTCTTTCAACTAAATAAAATAAATCTTTAAAGAAAAATAAGGAGGTCATTTCCCCCAGTTGGACTGTTTAAAGAGACTTGCTTTATTTGGCTTTTTAGGGTTGAGTTATTTTCTTCTTCAAGGAGACAAATATTAACTAGGAGGTTTCGGTGATTATTTTCTTCCCTTAAGCAGGTCTGCATTTGTTTTTTTTTGCCAAAAGTAAGAAGAAGGAAAATTTCTGCTGTTCTCCTCCAGCTAGCTGCGCCCTCCACCCAGTGATGAATTCCAGGGACTGCAGTTCAGGGGTCTTCTACCTTTCATTGCTCTGCTGATGTGGGAAACAGTCACTACTTAGCCGTGTGTTCTGCTAACGTGGGAAACAGTCACTACTTAGCCGGAAACAGAGATGCAAGCTGCAGTGGAGTGAAGCAGAAAGGAACACGTGCTCCTTTCCTTTGGGTCTGGAAGGATTTACTGTCCGGTTGATCTCCGGTCCTCCCTCGGGCAGTGCTTGAACCGTCCTTGTCTGGAATATTTAAAAGGTTACCAGAGGTTGTTCAATCATTTCCTAACCAAATCTCCCTGTTTTTAAGTAGCTGACACTTGTCATTTGCGAAGTTCCCTTTTGAACCTTGTGTGCAAGTGTTCTTTGTGGGGCGGCCTAAGTAAGTGATTACCAAGAACAGGCCTTGCTCACTCAATCAGGAGAGCATCCGAGTATCTTAAATCACACAAATAAGTCTTTTTAATTCATCAATTTGTGCAATACTAATTGAACTTTAGTGTGAAAGATGAAATTTTTAAAGTTTTATTTATTTATTTGAAAGTCAGAGTTACACAGAGAGAAGGAGAGGCAGAGAGAGAGAGAGAGAGAGAGAGAGAGAGAGAGAAGGGTCTTCCATCCACTGATTCACTCCCCAATTGGCCGCAACGGCTGGAGCTGCACCGATCTGGAGCCAGGAGCCTCTTCCAGGTCCCCCATGTGGGTGCAGGGGCCCAAGGACTTGACCCATCTTCTGCTTTCCCAGGCCACAGCAGAGTGCTGGATCGGAAGTGGAGCAGCCAGGACTGGAACTGGCGCCCATATGGGATGCCGGCACTACAGATGGTGGCTTTACCGCTATACCACAGCGCCAGCCCCAAAAGATGAAATTTTACTAGTAGTATTTGACAAATTGGACAATAACAATATTGTTTAAGTAAGTACTGGTGGTCACTTACTGGAACTGGAAGGAACCAAAAATTATAATTGGCTGCCTTGCTAGAAGCTCTTACTCAAGTTTCTATGTTATTTGGTTTTTTTGGAGTTTAGCTAATTCCTTTTTTCCCTTACATTTAAAACAACAGCCATAACTGTATAATTACCAGTGTCTTTTTAAAAAAAAAAAAAACACAATGTTTACTGCTACTTTTTTTAAAAAAAGATTTATTTTTATTTGAAAGAGTTACACAGAGAGAGGAGAAAGAGAGAGAGAGAGAGAGAGAGAGAGAGGTTTTCCATTCACTGATTTACTTCCCAATTGGCCACAGTGGCCGCAGCTGAGCCGATCCGAAGCCAGGAGCTTCTTCCGGGTCTCCCACGCGGGTGCGGGGGCCCAAGCACTTGGGCCATCTTCTACTGCTTTCCCAGGCCACAGCAGAGGGCTGGATTGGAAATGAAGCAGCCGGGACTCGAATCAGCACCCACATGGGATACCGGCATTGTAGGCAGCGTCTCTACTCACTATGCCACAGCGTCAGCCCCTACTGCTACTTTTTTAAAAAAAATTATTTGTTTGAAAGTCAGTGAAAAAGAGAAAAATGGAGGGACAGAGATCTGCCATCAGCTGGTTCACTCTAAGAGCCTGTGTAGTGCAGGGCTGGGCCAGGCCAAAGCCGGCAGCTGGAAGCTCCATCCAAGTCTACCATGGATAGCAGGATGTCACCCACGGCCTCACAGGGTTTGCATTAGCAGGAAGCTGGAACTGAGAGCAGAGCTGGGACGCAAGCCAGGCATTCCAAAATGGGATGTGACTGCTGGTCCCAAGGCCTGCCACTGGCCACTGTTTAAGTGCTTTGTCTATGTATTTTACTTTGTCTTTGCAACAGCACTGCAAAATGCAGGTGCTACCTATAGTATGCAGATGTGAAATGTAAGCCTAGGAGCTGGGAGTCACTCCCGGCGCCTCACAGCAGTTATAGCAGCATCAGGGTTCCAGGGCGGCCTCAGGAGTCAGCCTCCTGCTCACTCTCACCAGCTCTGTCCTTCGCGGTGCCTGTTTGCGGCATCTCCTCCAGCCCTTCTCCTGGGTCATGCAGCTGTTTGTGTCTTGCTTTGTTCTCCCTCCCTTTTCCAAACGAGAATTCATAAACTCAGATTCTATTGGCACCTAGGGCCAGGCATGATTATTCTCCCGGGAAAAACATTGCCTGCATCTGTAATGCGGAAAACTCTTTTCTTTTAATTTTATTTCTCATAACGAGTTGGCCCATAAATATTTCCAAGCAAGCTGAGTCTCCTGGTTCTTGTGTTGTCCAGGAGGCTGTTAGAAAGGATATTTCAGAATCAAGCTTGACCACTAAAAAATTATTCTTGTAGCTATTAGGACAAATCTCAGTGCCATCGTGTCCTCTGCTCTACAAACTCACGATGATCTGTTATTTCCAAAGAATGTGTATGTGGTCTGTGTCATATCAGTGCACTCATTTCTTTCTTTTTTATTCTTTTAAATTTGTTAAAAAAGATTTATTTTATTTATTTGAAAGATAAGAGTTACAGAGAAACAGGTCTTCCACCCACTGGTTCACTCCCCAGATGGCCGCAACAGCCAGAACTAAGCCAATCCAAAGGCGGGAGCCAGGAGCTGCTTCCAGGTCTCCCACATGGGTGCAGGGGCCCAAGCACTTGGCCATCTTCTACTGTTTTCCCAGGCCATAGCAGAGAACTGGATTGGAAGAGGAGCAGCCAGGGCTAGAACCAGCTCCCACGTGGATTGCCGGAACTTCAGGCCAGGGCTTTACCCTCTGCGCCACAGCGCCGGCCCCTCTTTCCTTCCTTCTCTTCCTTCTTCCTTCCTTCCTTTTTTTTTTTTTTTTTTAGATTTATCTTATTTATTTGAAAGACAGAGTTACAGAGAGAGGTCAAGATAGAGACAGAGAGAGGTCTTCCATCCGCTGGTTCACTCCCCAGATGGCCACAACGGCCAGAGCTGCGCTGATCTGAAGCCAGGAGCCAGGAGCTCCTTCCGGGTCTCCCACGTGGGTACAGGAACCCAAGGACTTGGTGTATCTTCCACTGCTTTCCCAGGCCATAGCAGAGAGCTGGGTAGGAAGAGGAGCAGCCAGGACTAGAACCTGCGCCCATATGGGATGCGGGTGCTTTAGGCCAGGGCTTTAACCCACTGTGCCACTGCACCGGCCCCAAGTGCACTCATTTCTTACTGTGGCTTATCTTGCTCCTTTGTTGACGTCCTTTCTTGTGGCTTAAACCATTTTGGCTTTTTCTTTTGAGTTGGCACAGTATGAACATTTGATGAATGGTCCTCTTCATCAGAAGTGTGGGTGTCGTGGTGTGAACAGTGTTCTCGGTGTGTAAAGCAGCTTCCAGTTCATACCTGGGAGCAGCTGCATCCCTGTTCTGTGCTTAGCAAGGAGCACTATCGTTCTGTGCAGGCAGGTGAGTCCTGTGGGAAAGTGCGAGACAGTTAGCACACAAGTATCACCGATTCCCTCCAACCAAGCTTGTATTCATCTGTAAGGGACAAGAATCCATTTTGACTCTTAATAGCTAAGCATGAAGTGTGATACTGAGTTCATTTAATTGTACACCCACCTTGTTTGTAGTCTGTGGGGAGCAACTCGGACTAGACTGTTACTGGAATTAAGACTTATTCTATGCATCTGCTCTCCCACAATATGGCGCTGAGAAGGGAGTAACAACTTCTACGCAGCTGCCTCCAGTTCAACCAATAAACTGTAGGACCTGCTCCTGATTGGAGGAGAGCAGCGTACTCGGCGTGTGGGTAGCAGAGTTGGGATTGGTGGAAGAGGACTATAAAGGAGGAGAGAGACAACATGCACCAGGAACATCTAAGAGGAACACCTGTGCAGCCCCCGAGAGAGCCGGCCGGTGGTGTGCCGCTCCCCCGCGGAAGTGGGGAAAGTGGCAGGGGGAACCGCCCTTCCACGGAGGTGGAAGGGACGGTAGCCAATCCGGGAAGAACCAGCAGCAAACCCGGGGAGGGCCGAGCAGACAAAAGAACAGCTCAGGGTCCTGTGTCGTTCCTCCGTGAGGAGGGGGAGCGACAGTAGTCAAACCAGATTATGCCATCAAGAAGTGATCATCGCTCGGCGACACCTTAGCATCTGAGTTGTGCATAGTCTTTAGCACAGGCTGTGATTGTGCCAGGTATAGCACAGACAATGCGTATGTGCTCTCACTTGGGATTTCTCCTTTATGACTGCTCCTTTTACTGACGGGTGCTCCCCTATGATACTCCCGTCAGTAACTGACAGCGGTGCTTCTATTGGAAATGTTAATAATGGCTAGTGTGTAGGAAAAGCCAGGCACCGTGCTCTGCACTTCTGTGCTTTTTCATACTTGGTTCTCTCCCAAACCAGATGAGGGACACACCACTTTCTTTTTTTCAGATGACGGGAGTTGGTATACTTGCCCAGTGTCACACAGATGGCAGATGCTTAGAACCAAGCCTCAGACACATCTCTTCTGATTATAAATTCTCCCGCATCACAGGAATGCCCTTGACAATCTTTGATAAATGAAAAAAAATCTGTGGCCACATTTTTGTTTGATTTATTTCAACAGTAAACATGTAAGGAAAGTCTACTTGAAGTCCACCGCGTTGGACCGGTGTTGTATATTGGGTTGAGTTGCTGCCTGCAGCGCTGGCATCCCCTGTGGGCTGCTGATCCAAGTCCCAGCTGCTGTAGTTCTGATCCAGCTCCCTGCTAATGTGCCTAGGAAAGCAGTGTGGGATGGCCCAGGTCCTTGGGCACCTGTACCCTTGTGGGACACTCTTGGCTCCTGGCTTCTGCTTGGCCCAGCCCTGGCTATTGTGGCTGTTTGGGGAGTGAGCCAGCAGATGGAAGATCCCCCCTCCCGTAGCTCTTCCTTTTAAATAAGTATTTTTTTTAAAAATCCACTGCATGGCCACCCACAGAGGTTAGACTACAGTCAGGTGTATATTTTTAATAGGATATGCAGTTTATCTTTTTCTGTATGTTGGATTATACACAGTTATGCTTGAATTTCAATTTTTTTTTGCACCAAAATAAACTTGTCTTGTAATTCCATCTTCAGTGAGCTCTTTGAAGTGTGCTCCTAAGGACGTACACCTGCGCCTTGTGCTGTACAGCAATGACTTCTGAGAAGCGGGCTTGATTTCAGTGAACTTGCAATGCACGTTCTGTGCTCTGCATGCCGTCCTGTCCATCATCCTTTCCCCTTCTTTTTCATAATGAATTTTTCTGAGTCCCAGGCAGAAAATCATATTAAAGTGGAGTTTACTTACGTTAAGGTTTAAAAGGTAAGAACTGCAATGGTTTCTGCTGTAATTTGGCCTCTGTTGTGTTTTCAATCTTCTGCTAATTCCTTGTGATCAGATGTTTTAATACTAATTAGAAATTAAAGTTCTTTGTTTCTTTTTTTAAAAAGGATTACTTTAAATACTTATTTACTTGAAAGACAGGGGTGAGGAGGGAGAGAGAGATTGAGATTGAGATCTTCCATCTGCTGGTTTGCTGCCCAGATGGCTGCAACAGCTGGGGCGGGGCCAGGATGAAGTCAGGAGCCTGGAACTCCATCCGGGTCTCCCACATGGGCAGCCTGGGTCCAGGCACATGGGCCATTAGCAGGGAACTGGATCATAAGTGGAGCAACCAGGACTCGCACTGGCACTCATAATAGGATGCTGGCTTTGCAAGTGGAGGCTGAACCTGCTGCACCACAATGCTGGGCACGCGGTGAGAGTTCTTTACAGTGATGGCTTATGAGTAAATAGGATTTGAATGCTTTCATTTGAAGATAATGTGTGAGCTTACGTGGGAGAGAAAAGGATCAGCTTGAATGAGGACATTTTTAAATGTGTGTGACTAAAACGATCCTGGATATAATCATACAGAAAGAGATTCTAAATATTTTGAGAAATATGTACGAGTTTGTTTCAGGAGTTGAAAATATTGATTAAAAACCGATAGCAACGTTGAATTTCATGATGAGTTTTCTTCTGTGATTCGGGTTTCAGAAAGCCAGTGATTAGAAGGCATCTTACTTGTATTTGGGAGTAGTTTTAGGAATAGCAAATCATGTTTTCTGAACATTGCGTATGTGTAATTTTTATCTCCCTTGTAACTTTTCTTTCTACAAAAGAGCTCTTTGAGTTAAAGAAACAATTTAGATTGTGACAGCAGTTGTGGTAATTTGCAGTCACAGCGCACATAATTCCTTATCTTCATACAGGTTGAATTAGGCTCCTGCTGTGGTCAGTTGGGTAAATAAATAGAAAATGGTGGTGCCTTTCAAGAATCAAATGGTTGCTTGATAGACTTTTCTTTTGAGAGCCATTTGATTTAGATCATCTGCCAGATACGTGAGTGTAAAGCAGTACAAGCTCTGAAGGGAAAAGTCTTCAGAACCCAGCATGCAGAGGCAAACCTTAGCTTCGGCTCCCGTGTGCTGACACATTTTTAAATTTATTAAAAATCTGGGAATTCTTACTGAAAAAACTCACTTATGATAACTCTCATAATTGTTACTTGAACCTAATTTTTGACCTCCAGGGAAGCGTACCTTTCACTCTTTACACTTAGAATTCAGGTTTGGTGTCCGTATTAATGCGTGCAGATGGTAAAGCCTACTTGGGGCCTGCCCACATCTGCACCCGAGTCTCCACAGCACAGTCCTGTGTGTTGAGCGTGCTTTTGCCACCATTGTTCACATGGCACTGGTTCTCAGGGTAATTTGTCCCCAGGTGGGAAGCATACCGGTGGCAGAGTTGTCGATCTTAGCTCAGCCTGGCTCTGGAGCCCAGTCTCTCATCTACTGTGCTGGCCCACAAGGTTATTAAAAGACAGCTTTCAGGAGTTGCATTTGTTATGTTTGTTAATGCCCTCTCCCTCATTAAATTACACGGGAAAAAAGAGGGGGACTGTAATTTAGAATCTTGCTATTGCTTGCTGCTACACACTTAGAAATACCTGTTGTAAGTAGGAATCATCTCTAATGGTGACTGTTTATTGCTTGCTGGGCTATTTAAGGACTCCCTCCCCGCCCCAATTTTGAACGATACTCTTCCAGGAAAGAGAAGTACTAAGTCATTATCCCTACTGAAACACAGGCATGCTGGAAGTAAATGGTTTAGTTATTTTACTTACTCAGTGAGAATGGTTTTTCTATGGCAATAATTTTGTGTATGATCATTTTACTTATTTTATAGATTTATAACATGGTGGCAACTGTGAAAGAATCAGTGCCCCCCCCCCCCGCCCCCATTAACATTCCGTTAGCTCTTCACATGAGAGACAGTCATAGAGGCATCACTGGGAGGTGTCGACATTGAGTGTTGAGTGAGCACTCTGTCTTGATGGAGAGTTCTGTGTGGGGGCTGGCTTTATTTTTGAGGGGTCAAACTGGTTGTTTATGAGACAGAATAAAGCAAATAAGAAAAGGCTCAATGAAAATGCAAGTCCCTATTTCTTAACACTATTGCAGAAAGTCATCTGGGCCTGCATGTGAAGACAAAAGTGGGAGCTAAGACACGTCAAGAAAAGTTGATGTTTCGTTAATAGATTTAAGTAATTGGGTGAGAATACAATCGAGTCACCTTTTCCAGTGCATTGAAGAGTTATATCGATTGACCTGACACGTTCGAATCAAGGGCTTACTCTGTGCTGGAGGCTGGAGAGTTCTTTAAAATGTTTTTTTGCTTATTTCTTCTGTAATTTTTAAATTATTTTTTTCCTCCTACTAATTTTGGTTTGGTTTGTTGTTTTTTTCTTTAAGTTTGTTTATTTATTTGAAAAACAGAGATGGGGGGAGAGAGAGAGGGAGAGAGAGAGAGACACCTTCCATCTGTTTGTTCATCCCTCAAACGGCCAGGTCCAGGCCAGGAGTCAGGAGCTTCTTCTGGATCTCCCACGTTGGTTCTGGGGCCTGGGTACTTGGGCCATCGTCCTCTGCTTTTCCCAGGTGCATTAGCAGGGAGCTGGGTTGGAAGTGAAACAGCCAGGACTGGAACCAGCCTCTGTATCGGATGCCGGCATTGGAGGCTTAACCGTCTATGCCATAGTGCCAGCCCTGGCTGTATGCTTTTAACAGATGCCAAGAAAGCTTATTAAAGCATCAGAGAGGTTCTGGAAAACAAGGGCACATGTTGCAGTAGTGGATTCATGAGCGGCACCCAGATGAGTGTGGAGAATTAGTAGTACACAGATAAAGTGAGCAAAGTTGAATCCTGGCTGTGATGGCTGCCAGGTATCTTTAGTATAGCTAGTATTGCGTTGGTTTGTTGTCAGGAATAGAGTACTTTATAATGTCTTAATAAATGACTCTAGGTGTCAACACACACACACACACACCTCCACTCAAACACCCACAGACCTAAACTTATTTTTCAAAAGTGATATGCTAGGACTTGTTTTATTCCTAAATTGTTACCTCTGAACATGATCTTAATTCTGGAAGGTGCTTGTTGAAACCACCTTCAGGACTAATTGTGAGGTTTCATGAGGTACGGATGTAGTGTGCATTTCCTGGCTAGATAACCATCCCACACATCACCACTGATCGTTTTCCATTTGCCTCTCCCCTTGTTACAAAGGAGCAAGGAGGAGGAGCGTGGGGGAAACGTGAATGACTGAGACAGTGAGGATGAATCTGGACGAGAAGCGTGAATAGGAGAGCATCTCTCCTGGAGATGTGAGCGTCTGCCGTGGCAGATACAGTCACCCAGCGCGTGTGTGTAACAGTTTAAACGCTGACTTAGGTGTCTTTCCCTGTGGTGGTTGTTGGATGTAAACGATCGACATTTGGGATCGGTATGGGAAGTAGGGATCAAGAACAGCCAGCACAATGTCTGGCACGTTGCAAGAAGCTGTCACTTCATACTACAGAGCGGTACCACACCATGAATAGTTTGAACAATAGTTTGAAGCAACAGGTTTGGAACCAGTATTTTACTGTGCTAGTTAATATTACTAAGAATGACATCTCTACAAAAGTAATAGATTGAACCCAGTATCAGAACAGTAAAGTGAATGGCAGAATCATAAATGCAGGTGTTTACTCATTTTATGAGTTAGTCCAGTTTTCTCTTTTTGTATTCATCTTAAGACAAGCAAAGTTCAGAGTACTGCAAGCATGCAAGATGGGACAGACACGACTATGAATTCCTTCCAAAAATCTTTAATATAATTTGACCTTGAAATATGTAATACTGGAATATATTCTGCAAACTTAAAAAAAACACTCATACAAAGAGCCTTCTATATTTCTTGACTTTTTTTTTTTCCCTTTTGGGGGGAAAGGGAAAAGGTCTGCGGGATAAGTTTATTTAATATGACATCAGTTGAATAAAGCCAGCTGTGAGTAATTATCGCTGATATTTGATTTCCAGCTGTTTTGTTGAACTGTTAGTGGTTCTCAAGGTATTTGGATATTAATTAAATGATGACTCAGTGTAAAGAAGTTCTATTTAAAGTAGTGGTGCATCAAATAGAATGTTAAATTTCCCACCTGCTACAGACTTTGAATTCTTTCTGCTGTATCTGTTCCTTTTAAATTTTTTTTTAAAGGTTTATTCATTTATCTGAGAGCAAGAGTTACAGAGAGAGGGAGAGACAGAGAAAGATCTTCCATCCGCTGGTTTACTTCCCAGGTGGCCGCAATGGCCAGAGCCTGGCCTATCCAAAGCGAGGAGACAGGCGCTTCCTCTGGGTCTCCCATGCCAGTGCAAGGGCCCAAGCCATATTTTGCTTTCCCAGGCCATAGCAGAGAGCTGAATCAGAAATGGAGCAGCCGGGACTCAAACCAGCACCTGTATGGGATGCCGGCACTGCAGGTGTCGGCTTTACCTGCTATGCCACAATGCCGGCCCCTCCACCAGCATCTTAACCCCTAGGCTACTTGCTTGCCCCAAGATCAGATGATTTCTGGCAATGATTTTCCATATATGAAATCTATATATAACACAGAAAGAGAATTAAAAGAATATTCTGTTTGCCTAAAGGCTTCTGAAGTCAGTTTATCAGTAGTGAGCAATTCATATCAGATTGAATTTTGAACATCAAATTCTGCACACAATTTGAAAAGAAATCACAGAGGATAGAAGAAAAATACAAGATAATTAAAGAATGAAATAAGAAGTTAGGAAATAGAAACTGGTCGAATGTGCTTCATAGCCTTATGGAAAGAGCAAAGGCATAAATCAAACCAAGCAAACCCGCAGACACGCGGGCAGCGAGGCTGGGTGGTGCTTGTGGGTCTGCAGTGCTAAGTACTGAGCAGACCTGCCGGGTTAGTCTCTCTGGGCTTCACCGTCAGAATGGAGAAGTTAGCGTGGTTCCCCCCGTCCACCTCTCTGTCACACAAGTTCCCGAATGGAGTGCTTGTAGACGTTTTCCAGGGGTTATGAGGAGCAAAAGCAGGTGCAGGAATGTGGTCCCTCTCTGGGAGCGCAGTCTTTAACAGTGGTATCTGTATTGTCTTGTTCCCCCAGATGTTTCATACGTACAATCAGAAATTCCAACAATGAGAAAGGAACATGTGACAAATTCCTCTTGGATGATGCGTGGATGGGTGTTTAGGAGATGAGAATAGGGGAGAGCAGGATAGAGTGGTTTGAATCGGCTGTTCTGAGGATGTGTGTTGATGCCCCTCAGGATGGCTTGGGTGGTCAGTGCGTGCCAGGCAGGAGGCAACGCGGTTCTTGCAAGGCAGGCGGGGAGGATGCAGTTGACCTCAGATGCAGGCTGGGAAGAGCACTGGGTGCCTGTGTGGCAGTTGCGATTTGGTGCTCAGTGGAAGTGTTTCAGCAGGCGAGGGGAACAGCCTAGAAACCTGCTTGGGTCCTTTACTTTTGCTTGCATAATAAGTGATGAAAATGGAGAAGGCCCTGGACTTGTCCCTGCTATTGAAAATAAAATGAGCCGGCGCCGCGGCTCACCAGGCTAATCCTCCACCTTGCGGTGCCAGCACACCGGGTTCTAGTCACGGTCGGGGCACTGGATTCTGTCCTGGTTGCCCCTCTTCCAGGCCAGCTCTCTGCTATGGCCCGGGAGTGCAGTGGAGGATGGCCCAAGTGCTTGGACCCTGCACCCCATGGGAGACCAGGAGAAGCACCTGGCTCCTGCCATCGGATCAGCACGGTGTGCTGGCCGCGGCAGCCATTGGAGGGTGAACCAACGGCAAAGGAAGACCTTTCTCTCTGTCTCTCTCTCTCACTGTCCACTCTGCCGGTCAAATAAATAAATAAATAAATAAAATGAAAACTCTAAGACTTAACAGGATTTTTCAAAAAACCTAATTAAACGTGTGAAAGAAAAGAGTTGCAGCAAGTAGCAGCCAAGTTGAGCGTGACTCCTGGGGAGGCTTCCTTGCAGGAGGGGCCGCTGTGTCTGAAGCGTATGGCGTGCATCTGGCACCATGTGAAGAGGTGCTGCAGCAGGCTCTGGGGGCGCAGCTCAGCTGGTGATGGCGAGGGCTTGGAAGTCATCTGTGTAGGCTGAGAAGAGAGACAGTCCTGTGGGACGAGGTCTTGAGAAGATACCCGGGGCACAGAGCCCTGCGTAGCCTTCAGAGCTGTGTGCTCAGGCCTGGGGAGACCCGGGGAAGGGCTGTCCAAAGGCAGCACTGCCCCCTTCCCGATGTTTTGTCTTCCCTTCCCTTTTGTGTTTCTTTTTTCCTTGTTTGTCATCATTTAATGTCTTCAATGCGTTATTTAATCTTGCTTGTCTGACTAGACGGTCATATCCGCAAAGATAGGGATTTTGGTCTGTTTTATATGCTGTTGCATTCTTAGCAATTTACAGTAATGCTTGAAGCTTTTCGTGGCTCAGGGGGAGAAAAATATTAATTTGATTTAAAAAAGATCATTGGTGATCTTGGAGAAAGATGTGTCAGTAAACTTAGGGGCAAAGGTCACATTTCCTGAGGTTATACAACAACTAGATAGCTGTGAAAAGTGGGACAGTGGAGCTGCACCTGTCATTCCAGAATGCCGGCCAAGGAGCAGAACCCTGGCTGCAGAGGACGTGGGAGGGACCAAGTGAAGGCTTTCCAAAGCAGGACACTTGTGTGCTTGTAGGATTGGAAATGATGCAGAGGGCGCAGTGTAGTAGTTCAGAAATCCAAGTGTAGGTTGTTATTTTACTTGCAATTCTGTTTACTTGAATGGCTTACTAATTTCAAAAAAGACATTCAAAAAGGGGATGAAGAGGGGAAATACTGCTTCTGGTTTTTTCACCCCTGTTTTTAGTTTGTAAAAATTTAATTTTTGCTCAGGATACTAATAGTAAAGGCAGAATAAGTATTTTCAGGGACAAAAGGGTGAGAAGGAGTTTACTAGACTATCAGACTTGTTTTTGCACTGAGTCTTCAACTCAAAAGATAATTGGTCCCCTTGGGCAATACCCATACCTAAATATTTGGTGGAATTCTCACTGGCATGATAAAGCAAGGGTTCGTAAAGGTTACATGTGTACCATTTTAATGGTGTGCAATACTTCCTTTCTTGAACAAAAAGGTAAAACAGTGCTCTGGTTCCAATGAATAAGAAATGGGACAGATGGTATTTATCTGACATATAGGTTAAGCTTGCATAACCTTATATTAAATGACATGGCAGTGCAAGCAGTTTTCAATGTGGTAGATTTAGTTTCATAATTATCAATTGTTTTTTGATTTGTTAAAATTCTCCTAAACATGAGGATCAACAACAGTAACAATTTTAAAAATAAGATGTATTATATATACAGTATATTATCCAAGAACCTGATGCCATCGCTCAAAACATTTTTAGGATTTATTCTGGGGTCTTGATCAGAGTGGCTTAGTGAATCCCACAAAGAAGTGAGCCTCTCTATTTCATGCAGTTCTATGTTATTTTTGAGCCTGATTGAACTTAGATGACAACTCATGCACCTTAGTTCTGGGTGAATGTTGGATGCCCTTAAAAAAGCCAAACCTGCCCGGACAGTGTGAAGAACATGCTTACAGGTGTTCTTGAGCACACTGACTTCACGCACACCCCAGCGGCCAGGTGTTCCTGCGCACACTGACTTCACGCACACCCCAGCGGCCAGGTGTTCTCGAGCACTCTGACTTCACGCACACCCCAGCGGCCAGGTGTTCTCGAGCACGCTGACTTCACGCACACCCCAGCGGCCAGGTGTTCTCGAGCACGCTGACTTCACGCACACCCCAGCGGCCAGGTGTTCTTGAGCACACTGACTTCATGCACACCCCCGCGGCCAGGTGTTCCTGCGCACGCTGACTTCACGCACACCCCAGCGGCCAGGTGTTCTCGAGCACGCTGACTTCACGCACACCCCAGCGGCCAGGTGTTCTTGAGCACACTGACTTCACGCACACCCCAGCGGCCAGGTGTTCTTGAGCACACTGACTTCACGCACACCCCAGCGGCCAGGTGTTCCTGCGCACGCTGACTTCACGCACACCCCAGCGGCCAGGTGTTCCTGCGCACGCTGACTTCACGCACACCCCAGCGGCCAGGTGTTCTCGAGCACGCTGACTTCACGCACACCCCAGCGGCCAGGTGTTCTTGTGCACACTGACTTCATGCACACCCCAGCGGCCAGGTGTTCTTGAGCACGCTGACTTCACGCACACCCCAGCGGCCAGGACCTTAGTGTGAACGGCCAGGGAAAGGCAGGAAGCGCATCCCCCGTTTTTGCCTTTGGTTTTTCCTCTCCCCAGTTCATCGTGTGGCTGGCAGTTGACTTTGGCAGCTGCTGGGTGCAGGGCGGGGGAAGGCAAGCCCCACCCTTGGCCTGCACAGCCGGTGGTTCTGCAGAGTGGGGTTTCCTTCCCGGGGCCTGCACGTTTTGGCAGGAGGCCTCCCTCTATATGGTTGTTGAGCTGTAATAAATTCAAGTAAGTCAATAAACGTATGCTTTGGAAATGACGTCACTTCTCTAGTGCCAGAAGGGCCTGATGTTAAATATAGGATCTAATCACGTTTCTGTGTGCACATTAGGTGCAGAGAGCCACTTGTGAAGTGAAAGCAGGACAGGTTACAGATAGATTTTTCATGTAATACTTTGGTTGGTGTAGGTATCCTGAGGATCAGAGGCCAGGAGAGGAATAGGATATGAAAGTTGGATAACAGCTGGCAGCAATGACAGAAAGCCCGAAAGCATTTGCTGACCTTGGGGGTAACATAGGGAAGGGACGAGAACTCAGAGTTTGGGTTCTTCCCTCTGCCAGTCTCTGTTGAAACTGCCAACTAAGTAGAAGTGGGCATTTTTATTAGGAAAAGTATAAGTTGTGGTTAAGGATTGTTTCTTCCCGAATCCTGCTGTTTTCTACTTGAATTTAAAGAAGTTTATTTTTTAATAAACACTGTCCATGCTTTTAATGGGCAAGCGTGTTTTGAAGTATGTATACATTGTGGAATAGCTCAATCAGACTAACTAGCATGCGTTACCTCGCATACCATTGTTTTGTGCGAAGAATTTTCTCAGCGGTTTTTGAGAATGCAATGCATAGTTGTTTACTGCAGTCAGCGTGTTGTACCACAGACTCTTGCATTTATTCCTGGTATCTAACTGAAATTTGGTATCCTTTGACCAACATTCGACCCCCTACCCCTACCCTGGCACCACAGCTCCAGGGGAATATTCTACTCTCTGCTTTTTAGATTCCACACATACGTGAGTGAGATCAGTGCAGTATTTGTCTTCCTCTGCTGGCTGTTTTGCTTAACGTGACGTCCCCAGGCTCATCCTTATTGTCACCAATGACAGAATTCCATTCTTTCCCAGGAGCCTGTGGTATCCCAATCTGTGTCTGTAACCACGTTTTCTTTATGCATTCTTCCGTTGATGGGCACTTATCTTGACTGTTGTGATGCAGCAGTGAGCATGGATGAGAATGTCTTTCATATGCTAATTTCATGCCCTTTAGATAGAAACCCTTTAGTGGGACTACTAGCTCATGGTAGTTCCATTTTTAATAAACTATTTATATTTATTTATATATATTTATTTATATATTTCTATTTAATAAACCTCTGCACGGTTTTCCATAATCGCGCTAATTGACATTCCCACCAGTGATGTGGGAAGGTAACCTTTCTGTTGCCTTCCATGTGTTTGAGAACAGCCATCCTACCAGGTGCGAGGTGAGTGATGGTGAGCGTTTTTTCATTGACCTGCTGGCCATCTGCACGTATTCTTTTGAGAAGCGTCTATTTGGGACCTTCGCTCATTTTTAAATTGGGTTATTTGTCTTCTTGCTATGGAGTTGTTGGAGTTCCTGATGTGTTTTTGATAGCAAGCCCTTGTCAGATGTGTAATCTGCAGGCGTTTTCTCCCCCCATTCCGTAGGTTGTCCCTTCGCTCTGTTGAGTGCTCCCTTGGCTGTGCACATGTGACTGATGTGCTGATGTGACCCCATTTGGCAATTTTTGCTTGCACTGTTGGGGAGCATCCAAAACAGTCACTGCCAGCGCAGTGTCCTGGAACACCCCCGCCATGTCGTCTTCTGCTGCTTCAGGTTTAGGTCGTAAGTGGACGTCTTTAACCCGTTCCGAGTTGGTGCTTGCGTGTGGTGTGAGACAAGGATCTGGTTTTGTGCTTTTGCATGTGGGTAACCAGTTTTCCCAGCATCCTTTGTTGAAGAGACCATTCTTTCCCCATTGCCTGTTCTTGGCACCTTTCTGAAAACTCACTTGACCTTAAATGAGTGAATTTATTTCTAGGTTCTCTTGTGTTCAGTAGTCTACTTCTTAGGTATCTATTATAAGACTGTTACAGCATTGTCTTTTACTTCATTTTATGTATTTATTTTTAAAGATTTATTGATTTATTTGAAAGGCAGGGTTACAGAGAGGCTGAGGGAGAGACAGAGAGGGTCTTCTGTCTGTTGGTTCACTCCCCAAATGGTCACAACAGCCGGAGCTGGGCCGATCAGAAGCCGGGAGCCAGGAGCTTCATCTGGGTCTTCCACATGGGTGCAGGCGCCCAGGTTCTTCCGCCGTCTTCCACTGCTTTCCCAGGCACGTTAGCAGGAAGCTGGGTTTGAAACTAGCATCTGAGACTGGAACCGGTATTCTGATGTGGGAAGCTGGCTTTGTGGGCAGCAGCTTAACCTGCTGCACCACAGCCCTGCCTCACTTAACTCCTTTTCTATAATCTCTATTCTACCCTTTCCAAAACTGTATCTGGTTGGATGGCTGCACCATCCCTTTTCCCTGGCTGCCTCAACTTTTCTGGACAAATCTGAATGGGAAACCATCTCTGAACACTGCCTAAAATTTCTTGAGTATGTTAGCTCATTGCTGGACCAGTGGTGGTGGAAGGCTTCAATTACTTGAGTGGAATATTCTCATTTGCTTCCCTTGTCCTCTTGAGAAACAAAAAAGTCCAAGAGTAAGTAAAACTGTTGGTGGTTGGCTCCTCAGTAAAGCATTCAAGATGGGAAAAACAGATGTCAAATTATTTTTGTCTTTTGTCCTAGAAAAAATGGCAGCAATGAGCTTTTCTATATTTAACACCTCCTTCCTTTCAGAGCGCACTTCCTTTTTGCGAAGAGGCCATAAAGAGCCCGTGTCCACAGTGGCCCCTTCTGCTTTGCCTCTATGAAGACCGCCAGCCTCCCCCAGGACTGCCGAGCTCACAAAAGGCACTGATGGAGTCTGTGAGGCAGACCTGTGGCCCGAGCCTGGATGTCCTGCAGGTGCTGGGTGTAGAATCCCTGGCTCTTGTTGTAGAGATAGGAATTCCAGGGGTGACGTGGGCCCGCCCTGCCCAGCCCCAGTGCAGCAAGGGTTCCCTGAGCCGAACCAGCACCAGCCCGTCCCTAAGCAAATGAACTGAGGTGTGGACTGTGTTGTTAGAGAACACAGCGGAGGGTCTTTGCCTGGTGGCCTTAAAAAACTGTCGTGAAAAGTGGTCCCGAAATTGCTTTATTGTAGTGGGGTGTAGGTTTCTGTGTGTATACCGTTGATGTAGTTTTTCGGTATTTGTATTTAAATGATTGTTAACTGAAAATATAGTCACTTGTTGGGGAGCAAACATTTGCCTGTGCGAATAATGTGGGGAATTAAAATCTGACGACAAATGTGCAGCCTGAGAGATTAAAGAAATAACTTTACAATGAAGGCATCTTTTGTCGGGTTTATTCTTCTTGCCACTTAGGAGATGTGAATTCTGGGAAGCTGTAGGCTGGTGGCGTAATGCATTGTTCTGAGGGGGAAATACTTGGACTGGCTTTTGAAAAAACAGGAATTGCGGACAGATTGGGACACTTGATATTTTCCTTGTTCACAAGGCAAAGTTTTTGGTTAGAGCCAGCTTGTTGATATTTAAATTTCAATCTGTGCTTCTCTGAGTGTCCTCCCCCGCCCACGAGGACAAACGTGGTTCGCGTCCTGTCTTCCAGCCTGCTGAGCTCGGCGTTGGTCACCTTTACAGCCGTGCCCTGCGACGCGGGCTGTCGCGGTGAGCTGGGCGTTAGTGATGAGCGTGTCTCACTAAGCAGTGTACTCGAGAAGCGGGCTGTAGGTGATTCTTGCCTGTCCCTCGCACCCCCCCACCCCTCCTATGTAGGTTGGAAGGTTATCCAGGGAACTGCTTTATCATTGCTTTTTGTTTAGGAGTTGTTGAAACACAACACCCGACTGAGAGCACATGAAGAATGCCCTTTTCAGGAGAAAACAACCTGAAGAAGCTGTAGGCCATGGGGAAGAGCTTGACTGCGTCTGGTCCTGGAACTCCCCGTGCCTGTGTCCCAGGCAGGCTCAAGGACTACGCCAGGGCCTTCCCATAAGTGACCAGTGACAGCATGACCAGGCTTCCCTGGGCTTTGATGTTTGAATTGGCATGAAATCCCAGTCCTAGAGGACTACTTTTCTTTTGGGTATAAATTAGTAAGCTCAAAGCAGTCAAAAACATCAGGGAAGATGGAGTTAAAAAAAAAAGGCAAATTGAGGAAAAAGCCATGCAGGGATTTCAAAATCTTTTGCACCAAAATAAACTCGCCTCTCCATTGTTCTCCCCGCAAGTTTTTGCAGTCTTCCTGTATTTTGTCTTCACTTGATTTGGGACCACACAGCCATTTAAGAACATAGGTACGAATTCTGGCAGAAGCCGTGCACTCTGCGACGGCTTTTACTTCTCACACATGTTCCATGTGTATGTTCCGTGTGTGTGATGATGTAGTCCTGAGGCCTGGATGGCTGGGGCAGTGTCCTGTTTTCATTGCTTTGGTAATTGAATGGCTCTGGGGAGGCTGCTTTACAATACAAATTTGCCTGCCGGGGAGGAGGGCAATTAAGCGGTCGTGATAGGCGTGCCCATGGGCTGGCCCTCTGCCTGTTTGGTTTAGGGGCTTGAAGAGAAAGGAATCATCACACGCTGTCTGATCCCGGTATCTGTGTGTCCTGTGTCCTGGTGAGACCACGCGCTGTTTTGAGGGGGCTCTGGGCAAGGGCTGCCACCTTGTGGCCGTTCATGGGATCACCGCAGTCTGCATGGGCGAGCCTGGACCCGGGCTGGGATCACTTTGACTCTTCCTTCTCAGGGAGTGCTCACCTTAGGGTCCTGCATACCCCCTGCCCCGCAGCAACGTCACCTGTTCTTCCTCTGCACCCAGAGCACCCACAGTGCGCTGCTAGTTGCAGAGATTAGAAGGAGGTGCAAGAGAAGACAGGCTGTCTTTGTTTACGATACAGTCAAGTGACCACACAGAGCACAAACACAGGGCCTGGGCCAGCGGGAGAGGCAGGAGAGACTCCATGGAGTTCAGGAAGGGAGCCCAGGGAGACTGGGAGGTCTTTGAGCAGGCAGACGGAAGGGAGGGCGTCTCGAGGGCCTTTGTTGTAGGCAGGGCCCAGAGATGGCCGGTCACCGCTTAGCAAGGGCGCATGCGGAAGGCTGTGTTTGGGCTTTATTCTGAAGCCAGGGTCTGGATGTGGTGCGCCCTCTAGGGAATAGGGCAGCCCTTGCCCCCCCATAGGTGAGGGTCCTTCTGCAAGTTTTAGGCTGAAGTCTCGACTTTCTTCCCTGTATGAGCTTAATTGCTGCTTGTGAACCTGCTAGAAATTCATGCTTTGCAATGTTGTACAGGACAAGATTTTGTGAGGCATGTTCCCTGGCTCTACCTCTCTCTCTCAGTAACTCTGCTTTTCAAATAAATAAAAATAATTCCTCAAAAAAATAAATCTTCGGGCCAGCGCTGTGGCATAGTGGGTTAAGCCTCCGCCTGCAGCACCAGCATCCCATATTGGCACTGGTTCCAGATCTGGCCGCTCCACTTCCAATCCAGCTCCCTGCTAATGCACCTGGGAAAACATTGGGAGATGGCCCAGCGCTTGGGCCCCTGTGCCCATGTGGGAGACCCAGAAGAAGCTCCTGGCTCCAGTCTGGCCTAGTGCTGTCCATTGTGGCCACCTGGGAAGTGAACCGTCAGGATGGGCGATCTCTGTCTCTCTCTCTCTCTGTAACTCTGATTTTCAAAACAAATAAATCTTCAAGAAAAAAGAATATGGATTTAAACATAAGTTAATGGAATACATGCAGACATTTTTAAAGCCTGCATTTTAGAGTGTTATGAAACAGCTTTTGGCTATGGAAAGTAAACTTAGGAAAATACTTAATCCAGTTCTGCCAGTTTTAAATATATTTCTGTTATTCTTTCTGGGAGAAAAACTTAAAGGGCTGTTTGGAAATTGGAAATTTTGCGTGTTCCCCTTTTCGTCATTCTTAGGGATATGAGATTCTAAACCCCTGTCATTTGGAAAGTATATTAATAACAGATGTGATGGCCTATAATACACGTTGGTTATACTTCTCTTGAAACCTGGTATAAAAATCTGGGTTTATGAAGTAGACAATCCAGGGGCCTTTGTATGTTCTACAAGTCATACCCTCAGCTCTTTCAGGAGGGTAGACGTGCCTGCGTTAATTTGTGACAGTTCTGATGTGTACACACATTTTATGGATATTCAGAAGTTTAGAGTCTTAGGATCACTTTTGCTTCCATTCAGATCTCAGACTCAGCTACTGTTCCGCACGTTGTTAGGAAACTGCGACTTCAGCGACACAGCCTAGCCAGGTAAGGACTCACCTGGTCTGGCAGACCTGGTCCTGTAACACACCCAGGATCACAGCTGGGGAGTGAGGGGGCCTGGGTTTGAACTCTGCCCCCTCTGAGACATAGTCTTTGCTTCTCAGGAGAACTCCTTTCTGTGTTTTTTTGGGTGGGAATATGTGAGCTTTTTTAAAGGCTTGGCATCAGTAGGCAGCAATCTTCCTACCTGTCCGCCCCTCTCCCATTTGACTGCAAACAGGAGTTTTGAACCTTGGGACATGAGCTTCCCAACCCCCGTATTAATCCTGGTCGTTGCTCGTGAGCCTTTGCCCAGAAGGAGAGCTTGCGTTTTTGTCTTTGCAAGTTCCTCTCTCTGGATGGGTGAGAGCTGCTAACACTGGCCGTCCCAGTCCGGTGACCCTGGGCCCCTGAAGCAAGAGGCCCGTCTCCCTCCTCCTCCAGTTTAAAAATCCGTGGACTGTCCACCCCAACAGGCCTGCTGTTTCTCACATGGGCACAGGATTCTCACTCAGTCCTCGATTCTCACTCAACCTGCTTCTAGACACAGTGTAAATGCATTGCTTAGGATATCAAGCAAACCCATTCTACAGGGGACACGATGCACAGTTTCTCCTGGCGCAGCGTGACTCTGGCCCCGGTGTTTTTGCTGTGCACAAGCAGTGAGGAGTGAGCAGAGGACAGGAGTGGGTGCAGCAGCATATGGCGTGGGGGCCCGGGAGGAGGAGGTGGCGTAGTTCTTTCCCAGCTCTCCGAAAGACCGCGTTAAAACACCTGCTGTACGCAGGGAGTGAACTTCTGAGGCTGGCCAACACACGATCCCTGAAGGCCGGTTATAAGTGAATGATAAGTGAGCCCTGAAGCCCGCCTGGGTCCGGATGAGTCTCTGGGGAGAAACTGGAGCAAGAGCCCGGAGGCTGCCTGCTCTCCCTCTGCCTCTGCTGTCGGGGCGCCTCACGCCGCAGATCTGAGCAGCAGGGCGACGTGGGTTGGGTTGTGAGCACTCCTGGAAGTCCAGGTGCTTGCTGTGGGGAGGAGGGAGTCTGCTTTCCCTGGGAGCCTCTCTTCGCTTCTTTCTGGTCGTCTGTCCATCTCTCTGTCTGCTGGGAGAACAGTGAGTTTTAGAGCTTTAATCTGCTCTCAAGTGGCATGTATTTTTGAGCAAAGGATGTCCTTCCTGGGGCAGGAGGGAAAGGCTTATTGTTCTAAAACACGCTGCTTCCTGGTTAGAGCAAGCTGTTCCTCTTTGTGCTCCAAGACTGGAGAGTTTTTTTGGGGATGGGGGTGGGGGTGGGGGGAGAGCTGACCTTTTAAGGTTCCTTTAAAATAGTAACAGTCGTGTGCATTCTCTTTGTCTTGGGAGGTTAGAAGTTTCCCGGTTTGCGTGACCTGCTTGTTTGGCCTCAGCGGAAGTTGGAACACTTCAGGTGATTTCACTGCCCAGCGTTTTTTTTTTTTTTAATTAGTCAAGTTTGTTGACACACAACTTCATTCTGTTTATATCTCTTTTGTTTGTGTAGAGAGAAAAAAACAATTAGAATGCAAGACTATGAAGGCCATATAGGAGAATTCCCTCCTGTGTCTTTGCAAGAACCCTCTCTCGCTGAGGTCGCCTCCCTGGTTTCCACTGATTGTTGACTGTTGCAGGTTGATTGAGGAGCAAGGTTTCCTTGGCCCTCACCTATGCTCTCTGTTTCCTTGCAAGGTAGGGGCAGTTCCATGCCAGTAACAGTGTTGCAGTAGGTGGAAGCCAGGCTGCAGCCCGAGATGGGGAGAGACGCTGTTAGGGTGATGCTTCCGGTGGGAAGGGGGACAGCAGGACTGGATCACCTCGCAGGGACCTCTCATCCCCCCAGATGTGTCCATGCTGCGGACACAGTTCATTTCTCTTGGTTGTGCCGCCTGGAATCTCATGGAACATGGACATGCCAACGCAGACAGGCACTCCTGGGGAGGGTTCCAGGGCCCCCGGAGCTCATTCACACCTGCGTCTGTGTTCAGATCGGAAAGGCAGGGTTTGTGTACTTCAAAATATCGCTCCTAGAAACGAGAAAGGGATCTTCATTTTGGCTTTCAGCGTGGTGTACCTTCCCTGCACCCCCTAATTGCCGGGCAGCCTAACAGTCCTGCTTGGCTCCCAGGGTAAACTGAAGAAAAGCTTAAATGCAGATCCCTGCCTCCTCTGGTTCGCAGCCGCGTGCTCATCTGTGGTCCACTTCCTTTCATCCCTAAGGACCAGAGGGAGTTCTCCAAGCCTCTGCCACAGCGCCTCTGTGTTCCCTCAGACCCAGCTCCGGGCCGCTCACGCTCATCACCTCGCACAGCACAGTCAGATCTTACTTGCTGGTTGCCTGCCCTCTGGGCTCCAGTTTCTTACCACTCCTGTTAGTGCCAACTAGGAAATCTCAAGTCTAGGTGGAGTCTGTCTGTAAAGTCATCTGGGTCAAGCTAGCCAGTGCTGCCTTCCGTGTAGACAATGTCACAGAATGGTGTTCTTCTTTCCCTGGTTTGTAAGATCCTTGTGTCATAGACCATTTAAACCAAGCTTCTTTTGCAGTAACAATAGAACTCTAAGAACAATAGAAGAAACTGACATAATTGGTAAATTAACATCTAGATGTCTGTAGTCTGGTTAGATTCATAAGGTACTCATATGAGGTAGCTCACACAGGGTTTTCTGATTGTGTGTTGTTTGAGTGACACACGTCCCTGGAAGGGCGAGTGTTTCATTTATGCAGCTTGGGTACAGCATGTTAATGACGTCACTGAGTCCACCGGGTCTCCTCTTCACCTGCTCAGCTTTGTGATGCAGGCTCAGTAACAACTCTGACCTGTTTCCTTGTGCCAGAGATGAAAGCGATTAGTGAGTACGGGTGGTAACATCCCACTGTTTACTAGGCTTTATTAACTACTCAGCGTCTTACTTAATTTGCAAGTTTTATTTAGAGTGTCTAAAGGTAAAGAAATAATGGCAATAATTATGCTTGGTGCTTGCTATACAATCATATAAGTTATGTATTCACATGAAAATTGTTATGTACATGTATATCTTATTGACACATAATTTATTCAGAAATGTGATCCTTCTTTAATTGTGAAGCCCCATACTATTAAAAAAGCAATAGATTAATATTGTGCCATTTGACCAAGGTTCCGGTCTTTTTACTTTGATTTTGCCTAGTTGAGTTCAGAGTCAAGTCCGCTGTGTTCAAGGCTTGTTCTCTTTTGAGGCTTTGCCTTTCCTTGGTCCTGTCTCTGAGCTTCCAACTTCTGTCTTCTGTCATGTTTCCTTTAGACTTCTTCCTTTCTTTTTTTTTTTTTTTTTTAAACTTTTATTTAATGCATATAATTTTCCAAAGTACGACTTATGGATTACAATGGCTTCCCCCCCATACCGTCCCTCCCACCCACAACCCTCCCCTTTCCCACTCCCTCTCCCCTTCCATTCACATCATGATTCATTTTCGATTATCTTAATATACAGAAGATCAGCTTAGTATACATTAAGTATGGATTTCAACAGTTTGCTCTCACACAGAAACATAAAGTGAAAAATAATAGATGATTTTTTTAAATGATGATGAAATCAGAGCAGACCTATTGTCATGTTTAATCCCAGTGAGAGTCAAGTTGGGAATTGATAATTTCTTTTTTTTTTTTTTCTTTCTTTTTTTTTTTTTTTTACAGAGGATCAGTTTAGTATGCATTAAGTAAGGATTTCAACAGTTTGCACCCCCATAGAAACACAAAGTAAAATATATTGTTTGAGTACTCGTTATAGCATTAAATCTCAATGTACAGCACATTAAGGATAGAGATCCTACATGAGGAGTAAGTGCACAGTGACTCCTGTTGTTGACTTTACCAATTGACACTCCTGTCTATGGCATCAGTAATCTCCCTATGCTCCAGTCATGAGTTTCCAAGGCTATGGAAGCCCTCTGAGTTCTCCGACTCTTATCTTGTTTAGACAAGGTCATAGTCAAAGTGGAGGTTCTCTCCTCCCTTCAGAGAAAGGTACCTCCTTCTTTGATGACCTGTTCTTTCCACTGGGATCTCACTCGCAGAGATCTTTTGCCAGAGTGTCTTGGCTTTCCATGCCTGAAATACTCTCATGAGCTTTTCAGCCAGCTCCGAATGCCTTTAGGGCTGATTCTGAGGCCAGAGTGCTATTTAGGACATCTGCCATTCTATGAGTCTGCTGAGTATCTCACTTCCCATGTTGGATCACTCTCCCCTTTATTTACTCCATCGGTTAGCGTTAGCAGGTACTAGACTTGTCTATGTGTTCCCTTTGACTCCCAGTCCCTTCACCATGACCAACTGTGAACTGAAACTGATCACCTGGAACAGTGAGATGGCATTGGTACATGCCACCTCGATGGGATTGAATTGGAATCCCCTGGTATGCTTCCAACTCCACCACTTGGGGCAAGACTTCTTCCTTTCAAGGAACAGATTTTTGAAATCCTTTTTCTTTCTAGTATTTTTTCCAAATAGTACTTTTTTTGGTCAGGGCAAATTTATCTGCTTGATGACTGTTTAATGAACTTAAGTAATCGCGTGTGTGTGCTTAGGTGGAAAGCAGTGTAGGCTTTGGGCAGATGGTAGCGGGCTGATGGGTTCTTCAACAGCAGCGTGTGAGAATTTGGAATTGGGCTCACCGTGTGAGCTCCTCAGGAGTGAAGGGCACTGCTCCTGTGTTGCTGAACCGCTTCAGGTAGCATAAACGCACGCATTTAAACCAGATCATGAGCTTTGGAATTATCCAGAAGGACCTTTCATCATAAGTCTTGAAAAAAGGAATTCTTCTCATTCATTGGGACATTTTTCTTGATTTTCCCTAAATGCAAATAGAACATTGTGATTAGAATTTGATTGCTTCCAAGGAAGGAATGTATTAGCTTTGGCAAGGCACACGGTGTTAACTGGATGGTGGAAAAGATTTACTTTCAGCTTTCTTATTTGCATTTTTACATTTCAGTCGTTACATTCACCTTTAAAAGACTTCTTAGACGTGAAAGACTACAGGTGAATAAAGTGGAAGCTGTCATTCACTTCATCTGATGGTCGATCACACTGAAAAACTCCTAACATTGATGCATTTGAAGTCAGAATGACTTGCAATTATAGATCAAGTCTGTTCCCCCTGCCTCTTAACGCATCATGATGTTTAGAGGTTATGATAAAGTATTTTAGGCTGAAAGTCTTGGGACTCTCCTCGAAAGGTTTCTGGTTCCTATCCAGTTACACTGTGGATTGTTGTCTTCGGTGCCTTTACACAGAAGTCAGTGGCACAGAGTTCTCATTGTTCCTGGATCTTTTCCTAAGGCTCCCAAAGCTCCTTCTTGACGGAAAGGTTCAAGTTTGACCAGGGAAGTATGACTCGGACGCTGAGAGTCGTGGCACTGTTGGAAGCAATTAAAGGAGACCTGAATGAGTGGAGACTTAGTGTTGCTGAGATGGTAGCACTACCCAGCTTGTCTGCAGTCAGTGCCATCTTTAGTAAAATCTCAGCTCTTTCTTTTTTCCTTTTTTTTTTTTTGGGCGGATATTGACACTTTGGTTCAGAAATTCAGATCGGAAATGCTAGATAGTCAAAAGAGTCAAGACAATCTTGAAAAAGTAGAACAATGTTGGAGCACTCACATGTGTTTGAAAACTTGACCCCAAAGCTGTGTGTCGCTCCCCCTCTTCACAGAACCCTGCCTAGGCTTCATATCCGAGTCACGGCACCATTATGTCGCTCCCCCTCTTCGTGGAGGAACGACACAGGACCCTGCGCTGTTCTTTCGTCTGCTCGGCCCTCCCCGGGTTTGCTGCTGGTTCTTCCCGGGTTGGCTACTGTCCCTTCCACCTCCGTGGAAGGGCGGTTCCCCCTGCCACATTCCCCACTTCTGCGGGGGAGCGGCACACCGCCGGCCGGCTCTCTCGGGGGCTGCTCAGGTGTTCCTTCAGATAGATGTTCCTGGTGCATGTTGTCTCTCTCCTCCTTTATAGTCCTCTTCTGCCAATCCCAACTCTGCTACCCACACGCCGAGTACGCTGCTCTCCTCCAATCAGGAGCAGGTCCTACAGTTTATTGGTTGAACTGGAGGCAGCTGTGTAGAAGCTGTTTCTCCCTTCTCAGCGCCATATTGTGGGAGAGCAGATGCATAGAATAAGTCTTAATTCCAGTAACTCAGTCCAGTCCGGGTTGCTCCCCAAAGCTGTGTAATCAGCACAGTGTGAAACTGGCATCAAGATAGGCACACAGACCAGTGGAATAGCATTGAAGGTCCAGAAGTAAACCCTTACATTTATGGGCAGTTGATTATTTTCCAGAGACATACAGTACAGTTCAGTGAAGGAGAGAATAGTCTTTAGAAATAGAATTCTAAAAGAAAATATAAAAAATATAATAGTAAATCTTTGCGATCTTGGATTGGGTAATGGTTTCTTAAATATGACCCTGAAAAGGACCTTCAATCCAGAATACACAAAGAAATCTCACAATTTAATGATAAAAAGACAATTAAAATACGAAGAATTTTAATATTCATCTAAGATTATATAAATGGCCACAAAGCATATGAGTTAGTCATTAGGGAAACGCAAATTGAAACCACACCCAGTAGGATAGCTAAAGTAAAAAAGATGGACAATAATAAGTGTCAACAAGCATGTGGCAAAACAAGAATCCTTTTGCAACGTTGATGGCTTATAAAATGCTACAGCCTCTTAGGAAAGCAGTCTGGCAGATCCTTAAAAAGTTTAGCAGAGTTACTATGTGAGCTAGCAGCTCCCTTCTGTAGAAGTCTACCCATGAGAATTGAAAATGGCATTCAAGCAAAAACATACGCTCGTGAGTTCATGACAACGTAGTAGTAATAGCCAAAAACTGGGACTAACCCAAATATCCATCAGCTAACGAATGGCTAAGCCATTGTAGTCTATAGTCACAGTGGAACATGATGTAGCATTAATGCAGAAAGTGCTGATCCATGCTACAAGATGAGTGAACCTCCAGAAACATCATGCTAAGTGACAGAAGCCTGCCCTCCAAGGCTGTATATTCCATTGTAAGATGCCATTTCAGGAAATGCCCCGAACACGCAAATTTAGAGAAGGAGAAAGTAGACTTGTATTTGCCAGAGTTTATGGAAAGAGAGAATGAGGAGGGACTCTTTTTTTTTTTTTAAAGATTTATTTATTTTATTTGTAAGTCAGAGTTACAGAGAGAGAGAAGGAGAGGTGGGGAGTGGGGGAGAGAATGAGAGAAAGGTCTTCCATCTGCTGGTTGACTCCCCAGTTGGCTGCAATGGCTGGAGCTGCACCGATCCGCAGCCAGGAGCCAGGAGCCTCTTCTGAGTCTCCCACACAGGTGCAGGGGCCCACGGACTTGGGCCACCTTCTACTGCTTTCCCAAGCCATAGCAGAGAGCTGGATCGGAAGTGGAGCAGCTGGGACTCGAACCGGCGCCCATATGGGATGCCGGCACTGCAGACTGGGATTTAACCTGCTGTACCACAGCACCAGCCCTGAGGAGTGACTTTTACTGAGTCACTCATTACTTAAGTCTTTTTTTGCACCTGCTACAATGTGATCCAAAAAGCAACATATATTTTCTTTTCTAAAATGGAAATATTTCAAATATGTGTACCTCTTTATATAAGATATTATTTTGGTAGAATCAAAATAAATTGAATATACACTCATTTTAAGTGTACTTTTGAAATAATATGCATTGATTTTATAGTAAAATAATTTTATTTAATAATGATGTTATCCTATATCTATACTGTGAAATTAAAACTTTGCTTTGGCTATTTTGATGTACAAGTCAGAAAACAGGTGATAAAGAACAACTTAAGATTATCTTCATGGATTAGTCAGTTTATATTTAGGTAGATTTTGTGCTTTTCACGTAAGTGGTTATAATGGAGGAGCTTTGTGCAATTCCTTTCCCTTGAATAATGTCTAAAGTCTAAGAAAACATGAGCTTAAAGGGGGAAACAGTGGTATCAATAGCTTGTTTTTGCCTGCAGGTCAAGTGCCGTCTTTGATAAACTTCTTTTCCTGGAAGTCTGATCATCTCTATCTTTCCCTTTCAACAGGATCTGGAAATAGTGTATTCCTATTTGCATGGTATGGAAGCCTTGTCAAACCTGAGGGAGCATCAACTCAGGTAGGTCATTTTCATAGTTTCTTAATGATGGAATGTTAGAATTTTGTATTACTTTTTTTTATTGTTAAGAAGTAGGCTTAAAGAAAAGTTATGAGAACTCCCCTTCCTCTAGCCTCTTATATTTGGCTTTATAACTTTTCCAAAATTGAATTTAACTGTATTCATACTATAGTTTGCTGACATTCCTATTTTACGAATATTCTTCCACTCCTACCCTGGTGTGTGGCTCTCTCACCCCCTCCCTGCTCGAAAGTAATAACACCATTTGGTGAATATGCCAAAAGGGGCCCCGCTTGCCATTCTGGTAAATACAAGTCTACCTCTCACCCCCACACAGATACCCTAGAAACCAGATTGTTATAATTCAAAGAATGATTCGGTTCATTATTTTAGTATGTTATAGGTCTTTGTATGATTATGTTTATTGCATTAAGTAAACTGCCCTTTTTTGGGGGGGGAGCAGAATATTTGTTTTTGAAATCACTTTTGTTGTTTAGTAATTCAGTAACTTTATTTAGGGTTATCTGGGCTTAATATATAAGGATAGGCATAGGGGAAGGCATTAGGGTACAGCAACTGTAGTACCACCTGGACACTCACATTTCTCTATGAGAGCTGGTTCAGGTCCAGGTTTTTCTGCTCCCCATCCAGCTCCCTGCTAATGTGCCTGGTGGCTCAAGGACTTGAGTGTCTGCCCCCATGTAGGAGACCCAGATGGAGTTCCTGGCTCCCGACTTTCACCTGACCCAGCCCTGGCTGCGGTGGCCATCTGGGGGAGTGAACCAGTGGATGAAAGAGCCTCTTTCTCTCTCTCACTCTATCTTAGGATGAAGAGAAAGGAAGGAAGCAAAGGAAGAAAGAAAATTTCAAAAGTAATGAAGGATAGGAGTGATTTTACCATGACTGTAGTAGATGGTTTACAAATAAACACCAACAGGGACCTAATGGACAGGTCAGGTCTCCTCCAGTCCTGACCTGTAGTTTTTAATTATGAAAGGAATACTTGTCCTATATATTTCTCCCTTACTCTTTCAACACTAATTAATTTGTGAGCATGTCAATTTTATCTTTAGTTGTTAATTGAAAAAGGTACCGAGAGGATTGAGTACTTCTAAAATTAAATTTTTAATGAAAATCATTTAAATTTAAGTAGATTGCAGATTAAGTGTTTAAAAATTCAGTCAAGTTTTATTAGAAAGGGCAAAACCATTGGGGTTTTAGAAGATGGCTCAAATTAAGGCAAGAATAATTTTTAAAGCATGTAACTTTGATTTTATGTCTTATCATGACAAATTTCTTGAAAAAGCTATAATACCAATTGTTTTTATAATTGGATGCAGTTAATCTGCAAAACTAAAACTGCCATTCCCATTGTGCACATAAACCACGGGGGCTGGCACTGTGGTGTGTAGAGTCAAGCCTCCGCCTGCAGTGCTGGCATCCCATATGGGCACTGGTTTGAGTCCTGGCTGCCCTACTTATGATCCAGCTTCCTGCTAGTGGCCTGGGAAAGCAGCAGAGGGTGACCCAAGTGCTTGGGCCCCTACATCCACACGGGAGACCCTGGAGAAGCTCCTGGCTTTGGCCTGGCACAGCCCTGGCTGTTGTGGTCATTTGGGGAGTGAACCAGCGGATGGAAGATTGATCTCTCTTGCTCTCCTTCTCTGTCTGTATTCCTGCCTTTCAAGTTAAAAAAACCCCACATGTGTAGTATTCAGATATAGATGCACTGTGTGTTTATAGTAGGCATGCATTCAAAGTTATTTAGGTGATAGTTATTTATACAGTGGAAATAAAATGTTTGATACTTACAGAAATTTCGAGAATTCCCAAAGTGGAACTACTACATACACCCATCAGTTAGCTTGAGAACTATCAACTTTCCTTTCAAAGGTCACTTTGGTTAGAAATAACCACTTGCTTCAAGGCTGTAGAAGGTTCATTTTGGAGCCTGTTCAGACCCTTTCTTGGCATGAGCTTACAGAGAGCGGCCTTTGAGATCTTATTCTGCCGGTGTTGAAAATTCACATTTATGGAAAGCATCTGCTTAGGCAAACATGAGTTCTTTTTTAGAGCAAGATCAGGATACCAAATGAATGCTAGCAGTAGCTTGGGTTATAATACTACCGTTTCTGGGAGTGACACTCCTTTAGATCAATGGGTTTTTTTGAATTCTGTAAAGGCTTTTTACCCCAGGATTAATGGAGAACAGTCAGCTAAGACTTCCATGCAACAAGGTCATGTGATTACAGTGGGAAAATGCTCTTGACTAAGATTTCCCTTTGCCCGTTCAGGAGAGGACGCTGGAGCGAGGGCGCTGTCCTCCCATGAGGAGGAGAGAGGTTTTCCTGTGTGGGCTTCAGCTGCTTGTGTTGTAGCCGCCCCACCTGGGAGCCAGCAGCTGATTCCGAGCGCTTAGGGGCCATTCGCTGTGTTGTGCTAAGATCACGCAGTTTTAAAATTTTACTGTTAAAAGTTAATTTATTTGAAAGGCAGGTTGACAGAGAGAGAGGGTGGAGGAGAGGTCCCATCCATCTTCCGTTTACTCCCCGCATGTCCATGACAGCTGGGGGGGGGGGGGGGCGGGCTAAGTCGTGAGGCTGGGACTGCGTCTGGCTTCACGTCTGGCAAGGGCCCACGTGTTCGAGCCGTCGCCCATGCTTCCCCAGGTGCCTTCACGGGATCAAAGCACAGGGCAGTGGGGGCGAGAACCAGCACTCTGTGGGATGTGGGTGTCCCAAACGGTGGCCCAACCTACTGCCCCCTAGTGCTCACCCCGGGATAGCACACTTTGTGTGATACAAAGCTTTTCAGATTTTCACTTAGAAATGACAGATTTTTTTTAAAATACAATTTTAGTAATTGTTTAATGTTTCTACTACCTTAACTCATGTAGACTCGAAGTGGTGTATTTGCCAAAGGGGTAGAGAATGCTGTAGTTCAGAACAGAGACTAAAGCTGTGAAAACACAGACTAATTGTTTGGAACTAATGAGAGTTGCAAACAAGCATCTACTGGATTAAGTATTTTCTTCAACATTATTGATGAGTATAATTGTTATCATAGGCACCTTTAGATCATTAAGTAGCAACTAAGCTATGGTTGTTAAACTGAAGAATTCAGGCAAGATCAGTGTGTTTTTGGTGAAACATTTCCTAACAATGTTTAAAAACGAAAGCATTTTGCTACTTACCATGTAAGAAATTTTATCATGGCTTTCTGATAGCACTAGATAAATTGATTCTGTAAGCAGTGAGCACTTGTATGCCTACTGTGTGCTGGAGATTGATATAGGTTGTTGATGTCAGCCAGACCCTTGGCCTCACAGAACATACATGTTCCTGGTGGAGCAGACCACTTGGGGTCAACACATCACTGCGGTTTTCATTCAGATTTCGGTGTGTGGGGCATGGTACGAATGGATGCTGGGTTGCCATGACTTCAGAGCCAAAAGGAGGTGATGGTAACTGGGGAAAAATTTCTGCAGCGTGCAGGTGCCCCACAGTGCTGTCCCAGCAGCAGACTTGGCGCAGCGGGAGGCGAGGCCCGTGGTGCAGTAAGGGGGGGGTGTAGGTGGGTAACTGGTGTAGTAGTAGCAGCAGTTAGTACAGGGCTGTGTTCAGGGACAAGCCGCTTGGGTTTTCTTCTAAGGACTGTGGCGATTAGCAACAGAGGTATGAGATGACCTGCTTTTATGTATGGAAAGATCTCTCTGGATAAGGGCATGGCAAAGAAAAGGCAGAAACCTATACCCAGGGTGCTGCAAAGACATAATAGTGGGGCCGGCGCCGCGGCTCTCTAGGCTAATCCTCTGCCTTGCGGCGCCGGCACACCGGGTTCTAGTCCCAGTCGGAGCACCGGATTCTGTCCTGGTTGCCCCTCTTCCAGGCCAGCTCTCTGCTGTGGCCTGGGAGGGCAGTGGAGGATGGCCCAAGTGCTTGGGCCCTGCACCCCATGGGAGACCAGGAGAAGCACCTGGCTCCTGCCATCGGATCAGCGTGGTGCGCCGGCCGCAGCGCACCGTTGGAGGGTGAACCAACGGCAAAAGGAAGACCTTTCTCTCTGTCTCTCTCTCTCACTGTCCACTCTGCCTGTCAAAAAAAAAAAAAAAAAAAAAAAAAAAAAAAAGACATAATAGTGGGGTAATGCTAGTTCCTACTGGATCTCAGCCAAGGAGATGGTAAATAGGATCAGTTTTGTAGGATGCATTTTGGAGACAGGTGCTGGCAGAAAGATGGGAGTGAAGAAAGGAAAGGAGTGCAAGGTGCCTCCATGGTTCAGGGCCTGTATGTTTGGTGCTGGTTTTGGGGGAGGAAATTTGAGTTCTGTTTTGGGCATTTTAATTTTTTAATTTTTTTAAAGATTTATTTATTTGGAAGTCAGAGTTTTATACAGAGAGAGAGAGAGAGAGAGAGGGAAGGAGGAAGGGAGGGAGGGAGGTCTTCCATCCGCTGGTTCACTCCCCAGTTGGCTACAACAGCTGGAGCTGGGCTGATCCAAAGCCAGGAGCCAGGAGCTTCTTCCAGATCTCCCACGTGGGTGTGGGGCCAAAGGACCTGGGCCATCCTCTACTGCTTTCCCAGGCTGCAGCAGAGAGCTGGATCAGAAGTGGAGCAGCTGGGTCTCAAACTGGCATCCATGCCAACACTTCAGGGCAGGGCATTAACCCACTGCGCCACAGTGCCAGCCCCAGCTGTTTAGGACATTTTAAATAGGAGGTGTCCATCGTGCATTCAAAGGGCTTGCTGGAGTAGACATTTGGATGAGTGAATGTCTTGGCGGGAGATGAGGTCTTGGACATTGCTTTGGAAGTATGCAAGAACATGGGTTAAATTTAAAGTCACAAACTGAGTCAGATTACTTGGGTATCTGACCCAAGAACAGAGGTATAAGGACAGCCCCTAAAGGTGACATTTAGAAGTCCAGTGGCAGAGTGGGGTGGGGAGACTCCGAAGCAGACCAGTGAGTTAAGTGCAAAATCCAGAGACCAAAGACAGAAGTCTGGGGAAGATAAGTGGTGCAAGGAAAAAGGACTAATCCAGTGCTGCTGAGAGGCGCAGTTCTCGTAGGAACAGGTGGGACTGAGGTGACCAGGAGCGAGCGGGTGACTCACGGAGCCGTTTCGGTGGAGCTTCAGGGGCCAGCTGATGGGGCAGTGAGGAGAGGTGAGCAGGCGGACGCAGGACATGGACAGCTGTGCAGGAGACTCCTGGGAGGGGCCGGCAGAGTGCAGAGCACAGCTGGAGGGGGCTCTGGGTTAAGACAGCAGGATTACCGGCCGCATGGATACTGTTGAGCTCATTTGTGTGTTACTGGGAGTGAGTAGAGGAGCAGCAGACACGGAGGGCGATGTAGGCTGCGGACACACAGGGCTCACGGGGCAGGAGAAATAAGATGCCAAGTGGGCATAAAGAGGAATGGCAAGAGGAGTAGGGCAGAGCTTGTGACTTAATTTAGGACCAGTTATTTATTTTTTTTTTAAGATTTATTTATTTATTTGAAAGTCAGAGTTACACAGAGAGAGAAGGAGAGGTACAGAGAGAGAGAGAGAGAGTTTCACTCCCCAGATGGCTACAACACCTGGAGCTGGGCTGATCTGATGGCAGGAGCCAGGTACTTATCCTGGTCTCCCATGGGGTGCAGGGCCCAAGCACTTGGGCCATCCTCCACTGCATTCCCTGGCCACAGCAGAGAGCTGGCCTGGAAGAGGGGCAACCGGGACAGAATCTGGCACCCCGACCGGGACTAGAACCCGGTGTGCCAGCGCCGCAAGGTGGAGGATTAGCCTATTGAGCCATGGCACTGGCCAAGAATGGCATTTTTAAGAAGCTTCCTGTTACATTAAATCCAATTAAATGTTCAAAAAAAGTACAGAAATGCAGCAGAGAATGCCTATTCCTTCTGTGAGGGAACTAGCATAGCAAAATCTGGCTGTAGGAGTGAGCGTTCTCACAGCACCTACATTTTGGTGCATGGGGGCTGCCATCCTCTGAACTGTAGATCAAACCCACATCCATGTCCCCTCTGCCAAGTCCAACAAACATAGCAAATGAGGGCTGCTGTGTTCCCTGGTTCTTCCCACGGCCACATGACCACCACCCTACTGCACCCTCCCTCAAAACATGGCACCTGGGGGGGCACTGGGGCGTGAACCAACGGAAAAGGAAGACCTTTCTCTCTCTCTCTCTCTCTCTCTCACTCTCACTCTCACTCTCACTCTCACTCTCACACTGTCCACTCTGCCTGTTAAAAAAAGAAAAGAAAAGAAAAGAAAAGAAAAGAAAAGAAAAGAAAAGAAAAAAGCCATTCTTCAGATAATTTCAGACACTTAAGCAGTATTCATGTTTTCCATAGTTTTTCCCCCCTGGGAAAAATTAGGGCTCTAATGCTCTGTTTAGTCATCGTTCATAGAAAACTGAGTTAACAAATGCCCGCTTTTGTCTGAAATTCTGTGCAGTTGAATAATGTTAATGTTGAGCTGTGCAAGACATTGTCACTTTTTTTAAAAAAGATTTATTCATTTATTTGAAAGAGTTACACAGAGAGAGAAGGAGAGGGAGAGAGAGAGAGGTCTTCTATCTGCTGGTTCACTCCCCATTTGCTGCAAAAGCCAGAGCTGTGCCGATCTGAAGCCAGGAGCCAGGAGCTTCTTCCGGGTCTCCCACGCAGGTGCAGGGGCCCAAGGACTTGGGCCATCTTCTGCTGCTTTCCCAGGCCACAGCAGAGAGCTGGATTGGAAGTGGAGCAACTGGGAATGGAACCAGCGCCCATATGGGATGCCGGCACTGCAGGTGGAGGCTTTACCCTCTACACCACTGTGCCAGCCCCGATATTTTCACTTTTGAAATGTATAGGTTTTCCTTGCTAGTTTTTGAGCTCTTTCTCATTCACCATTGACCTTGGAAAACGTTAGTTTATTCACATGCTACAGTCCTTTTCCCCATAAAATAACTGCAAAGTTGGCATCTTGGTAGGTGTTTTTTTTTCCTAACATCTTAAGCACATCTTGTTTTGTTTTGTATTCTGTTAATTCAAATACAAGAAGTATTCATGTTGAGGCTAGTAAATGATTGTATTCTATAAAGCATTATATAAAATGATAATGATGTTAATTTGTTCATTTAGGTTTTTAGCGTGTTTTTCAGTGACAGATGTTGAACTCACGTCTTCATCTCTTTTACAGGTTAATGTGTGAAACTGTGAGATACGAAAGACACGAAGCAAATGAGGTTTTATACTAGTAAGTGTCTCCTTTCTGTTTGTAGAATGTATAATGAACGTAGTAACTAAATTTCCCTGGATTATCAATGGAGTGTTAGTAACAGTGGGCTCAGCATTAGCTTGTTTTTTAATGGTTTAGATATTTGAAACCTTTCAGCTGTTTCCTCTCATAAAATAAAGGCTTTCAGTCCTTTCCTGGTTGGTTCGTGTTTGAGTCTGTATCGTTATCTCTGGTGAGTGGGCCAGTTGTGTTTGTTTATTTGAGACACACACACACACACACACACACATGCACACTCTGCTTCCATCTGCTGGTTCCCTCCCAAAACATCCCCCTTTTGGAGCTGAAGCCAAGAGCTGGAAACTATCCAGGCCTCCCCTGTGGAGAGTGGGAGTCCAGGTCCTTTAGCCATCACTGTTGCCTCCCAGGGTCTGCATTAGCAGGAAGCCGGAGCCAGTGGATCAGACTCCCAGGCACTCGTGCGTATGACCAGGTGTCCTCACGGCTAGGCCGGAAGTCCTGTGTGTGAGTCTCCTTTAGTCTGCAGCTTGGTGGCCAGTTTTCAGACAGCAAAATCGTATGAGCAAATGCCTCCTCACCCTGCCAGCCCCCTCAGAGGTGGCACCTTGGCTTTGTGGAAGTGGGAAGGGTGGGTTTGGGTGAGTGGAGGTCAGAGGGGACAGTCTCAGTTGTTACTGAGGTGGGAAGTACTTAGCTGAGGCAGAGAGGCACTGGGGGAGTTGGGTGGGTTTTAGCAGAAGATAGAGGGGCTGGCATTGTGGAATGGCAATGCCAGCCTCCCATAGAGGCTGCAGTTCCTGTCCCAGCTGTTGCAATTCCGATGCAGCTCCCTGCTGTGGCCTGGGAAAGCAGCAAAGGATGGCCCAAGTGCTCGGGCCCCTGCACCCTCGTGGGAGACCTGGAAGAAGCTCCAAAGGCCTGACGCAGCTCTGGCTGTTGCTGCCATCTGGGGAGTGAACCTCCGGAAGATCTCTCTCTCTCTCTCTCTGACTGTGCCTTTAAAATAAATAAATAAGTCTTTAAAAAAAGGAGAAGAAGATAGGACCCAGGACAGTCTTGGGTTGTAAACGGTTAAACCAGGAGCTGTTCTGCAGGCGATTGTGGATACCCACCTCCAGCTCAGAAGAACGTGGGCTCCATATGAAAGTGGTATAAAAATCCAAGGCAGAATCAGCGATAAGAGAGTGACCACAGAGGCGAGGGCCCTTTACTTACTTCCTCTCAAAAAGTAGGATGTAAATAACTTGAGTGTGTGTTTCCTGCTGGGGCAGTTTTTGGTGGAATGTGCGTGCAAATGGGCCACGTGGAAGTCCCTGGGAGTGCTGTGTGCGCGTGTGGAAGCAGGCTGGTGGTAGCAAGCAGCCTCTCCCGTTATTCTCTTCCGCTCTGGCGCCACGCGGGCAGTATGGATGACGAGTGACCGCAGGCATTTCGCAGCCATTTCCCTGTCCTGTGTGCTCCGAGACCTGCCTTGTATGCATTCGTTTACTTACCCTGTATAGGGGTTTTGTGAGGTAGTTGCCATCATCTCAATTTTACTCACAGAGAAACTGGGCCTACGAAAAGAGAAGAGACGTGCCCAAGGTGGTCCCACTGCCGAAAGCGGGACCTGGGTTTGAGCCCAAACGTTGTGATTCTGCAGCGTTAGCTCTCAGCCCGCTCACCCGCATTGCCCAGCCCTTTTCGTGCCATGGCACCGTAGAACAATGGCAGTGCTGTGTGCATGCTGGGATAACACTGACTCCCACCTGCCCCGGCCCTCCTCAGGGGTGGTAGTGGCTGTGAAAACCCACCTGCAGTACTGCCTGCGTTACCATGAGCCCCCACAGTTCTTCATCCTCATTTAGAGCGACGCCAGCTTGCAGTGCCTTTACCATTCCTGAAGTTTTCAAGTCAGTTTCTTTTTTTATTTTATTTATTTATTTTATTTATTTTTTTTTATTTTTTATTTTTTTTTGACAGGCAGAGTGGACAGTAAGAGAGAGAGACAGAGAGAAAGGTCTTCCTTTGCCGTTGGTTCACTCTCCAATGGACGCTGCGGCTGGCGCACCGCGCTGATCCGATGGCAGGAGCCAGGTGCTTCTCCTGGTCTCCCATGGGGTGCAGGGCCCAAGCACTTGGGCCATCCTCCACTGCACTCCCTGGCCACAGCAGAGAGCTGGCCTGGAAGAGGGACAACCGGGACAGAATCCAGTGCCCCCACCGGGACTAGAACCCGGTGTGCCGGCGCCGTAGGTGGAGGATTAGCCTAGTGAGCCGCGGCGCCGGCCTCAAGTCAGTTTCTACAGTGCATGTGCACCGAGCTCCAAAAGGCTCATGCAAGATGGAAGCGATCATGTTTTTTGGAGACGCTTGTGGGCTGCCTGGTGTTAAGATGCCCGTGTCCCAAGCTGGCCTGTGGTGTGCTGGGTTAAGCTGCTGCTTGTAATGCATGTTGGAGCACCGTTGGGAGGTCCCTGCTGCTCCACTTCCAGTTCAGCTCCCCGCTGATGTTCCTTGGGAAAGCAGTGGAACCTGGCGCAAGTGCTTGGGTCCCTGCCCCGCCAGGAGCCAAGAACTCCATCCAGGTTCTGCACATGGCGGGGCAGGGACCCAAGCACTTGCGCCATTTGGGGGAGTGTAGCAGTAGATGGAGATCTGTTTTCTTTCCTCCCCCTTAAGCCATGCCCCTTCACTCTGCCTTTCAAGTAAACATATAGATGCCCATGTCCCACTTTGGAGTACCTGAGTTCAATACCTGACTCCTGCTCCTGATGCCAGCTTCCTGCTAATGTAAGTCCTGGGAGGCACGTGCTGGTGGCTCAAGTGGTTGATTCCCTGCCACTTCTGTGAGAGGCCTGATGTGAGTTCCTGGCTCCTGGCTCCAGCCCCAGCCCAGCCATCATGGCCATGGGGGGTGTGGACCAGCCGATGCAAGTACTCTCTGTCCGTCTCTTTGCCTCTTCAATAAAGCAAACCATAAAAAGATAATGTTTATTATGGTATAAAAGATCCATACATAAAGGGATTTTCAAAACATTCATGAAAAATAGGTAGCATGAAAAAAATGAGTGGATTTCAATTTTTTAAATCAAAATAAACTTAACTTTAAACTCTGCTTTTCTGCAAACCTCCTGACTGCCCCCCACAAGCCTTTTGAAGTACCTTGGAACAAGGTCATATCTTAGATAATCCTCAGTCAGATGCATTAGACTTGGTAGCCAGAGGTGATTGTAGCCACTGCTCATGTTTGGTTACAGTTAAGTAACAGAGTTGGCAAGCAAGGAAAAGGCGTGGGTATCCGGTAAATCATCTCTTCACAAGACCAGAAATTCAGAGACTAATTCACATAATCAGATACTTTGTATTTGGCCAATCTTAGTATAATGAATTATATTCTTCTGTGGCCCTGTATGGGTGGTGTATAAAAATCTGTGATATTATTAAGCGATAACTTATTAATAGTACCCCTTTTGGGGCACCTGTTGTTAGGATCTCGTGAGGAAACAACTTGTTTTTTTCATGTTCTCCCTGGAGCTCGTAATGTAGTCAGAATATCAAAGACTTTCAGACTTTGGTTTTGTGGCCAAGAGGTGAGCAGTCATCTCCCTGATCATGGTTGTGTGCTGGTGACTTCGAGTCTCTGGCTTTAATACTTTCACCAGTTGACTGTGGTCTTCTTTTGATCTACCTGTGTGCCTCATTTTCCTCCTCCATAAAATGGAAACAGTAACAATAGCTCCTGCTGTGAGGGCTGGCGAAGGATAACCTGCAGTCATGTGCACAATTCTGAGAGCAGTGCCTCCAGGAGAAGTGCCGGAAACCTTCGCCACCGACGTGCTGTCCTTCCTGTGTGCGTTTGAACACTTGCGTTTGGCCTCCCATGTTTTTAGTTGCTTTTAAAACCTTTGTTTAGGGGGGGCAGTGATGCATTGGGGTAAGCCACAGCATGCAATGCCCTCATCCTGTAGGGGTTCTAATTCAAGTCCCAGCTGCTCCACTTCTGAGCCAGCTCCCTATTAATGCGCCTGCAAAAGCAGCAGCAGATGACCCAAGTGCTTCGGTCCCTGCCACCCACGTGCAGGACCCAGAGGAGATTCCAGGCTCTTGGCTCTGGCCTGGCTCAGCTTTGGCCATTTGAGGAATGAGCCAGTGGATTGAAGATCTCTGCCTCTTTGCCACTTTGCTTTCAAGCAGATAAAATTCATACTAAAACAAACAAACAAAAAACATTGGAAATGTGTCTCCCAAAGAAAAAAAGAAAAACGTTTGTTAGGAAGGCATAATAGTAGTGAGGCTATAATGCTCATGCTGTTACTGTTTTAACATAGGCAAGATGACAAAAATGGATGTAAAAGCACTCAACAAATAGCAGTGAGAATCTCCGAGTACCACCTGTTAGTGAAGGAATCATTAGTTGGGAAATTATTTTTTTTTTTTTTTTTTTAATAGTACCTGGAGTTATCTTCAAAAACTGAATTTTCGAAGCTGTCTTTTCTGCTTTAGTTTTTAGGTTAATGACCAGCCATCCTTACTCTTTCTATGTAACAGTGTGACATTTAAAGAACTCAAAACCTTTGCAAGAGGAATTCAAACACTGGAAAAAAAATTTTAAATGTATACATATATGCATACAAATATGCAAATGTGTGTGTAACTCCATAGCTCAGTGTCTATTTTGCATGTATACAAGGGGTCTTCAAAAAGTTCATGGAAAAGGCATGTTACAAATAAATAAGACAGAGCCGGCGCCGTGGCTCAATAGGCTAATCCTCCACCTTGCGGCGCCGGCAAACCGGGTTCTAGTCCCGGTTGGGGCGCCGGATTCTGTCCCGGTTGCCCCTCTTCCAGGCCAGCTTTCTGCTATGGCCAGGGAGTGCAGTGGAGGATGGCCCAGGTGCTTGGGCCCTGCACCCCATGGGAGACCAGGAAAAGCCCCTGGCTCCTGGCTCCTGCCAGGATCAGCGCGGTGCGCCGGCTGCAGCGGCGGCCATTGGAGGGTGAACCAGCGGCAAAGG